AAGGTATAAAGGTGGGTCCCTGCGATATAATCTTAGCCTATGACCCAGAAAGCATAGCTTTCTATCTTGAAGGAAACTGGAATAATTTTCTAGTGTTGTAAATTCATTTATTTATTTTCTGCTTGAGAAATCCCCCAGAGTGGTGTGGGGGACCTTCTGACACTTACAATGCTTTAAGATTGACAAATAAAGAGCACATCAGATTGAATCCAGAATTTGAGATGGAACAGCCTATGGGAAGGTAGGGTTTTCCACCTTTTCTAGTGATAATAACCCCTCTGGGCAAGAGCCAACATTAATCCCCAGGTCCCTTGCCTAGTGTATATTTTGTGTACAGTGCTGAACTGCTCTTGTCTTGATTAAATGTGTTAATATAGGAAAAGCATACAACCCAGCACATAAAATGTGTGCAGAGCACTTTAGTTGGGGTTTTCAAAGAACAAATATGATGCTATGCTTAATAATTTGGGCTCTTGAGCTAGTCTCCCTGGGTTCAAATTCTGATTCGGCTCCTTTCTAGGTATGTGAGACAGAGGAAGTTATATAACCTCTCTGTGCCTCAGCTTCCTTTTCTTGTTTTAAAGTGAGGATAATAACAGTACTTACTTCAGAGAGGTATTGAGTGGCTTAAATGTCTTTACCTGAGGAAGGAGTTAGAACAACATCCCCAGTTCAAGCTGTTATTGGGTAGTGGGTCTAATATGTGACACCCCCTTCTCCTAGCCCCCATATTCAAGCTGAGAGAGAAACATGGAATCAAAATACTACTTTTATTGCAGGTAGAGGCTTGATTGGGAAATGTGGCTTGGAGTTTCAGCCCAGTGGGTTCCCTGAAACTGTATCCCTGAGTTGAGTTTAGTCCCTGCATTTAGGCAGCTCTGGGGGTGAGCAGCCCCCCACCCCTGACCCCGGGTGGAGCAGGGAGAATTGTGCTGCCTGCAGTTGTTGACTTCCAGAGAAAGCTGGGTCCCCAAACACATCTGGGTCCTTTTCCCCATCTGCTTGGTCAGAGGAGGCTCTCTTTCCCTGGGAGCAAGGTGGGGAGGCAGGAATCCTGGCCCTCTGGGGGATGCTCCTCCCAAACTCTCTCCAGCAAAAATGTAAAAATGCAAATAGCTTCCTCTGAACCCAGCAAATATTCTTCTTCCCATTTGTATTTTTTTCCCTATTATTTTCTTATAGACTTAAGAAATTCAGGGCTCAGGACAGTCTGGCTTCCAATACATGGTGTGCACATTGTAGGCACCTGAATCTTTGTTCAACAAATGTAGTGTTAGGCAGTTATTTACTAGAGAGTGTTAGGTACCTTCTGTATTGGTCCCCGAGAACAAAAAGCTGTCATTACACTCCTTTGGGACTGATAGGGACAATCTGTGTCACCAGTCTTTCAGTTAAAGAGGGGGAAAGCAGGTGTAAGGTCTGGAAACTTCTGTGAGCAAGAAGAACTGATGAAGTGGAGAAGCTGTGTTAATAAAGTACTTCAACAGAGAAAGCCAACCATGCTCCTCCTATGAAAATTTCTTCATTGTTGTGTTAGCTCCAGCTAACAGAAGCTTATAAAATAGCAAAGCCCAAATGGAATTTTATTTATAACTCACTTCTAATCATAGTGCTAGCTTTTAGCCAAGCCAATTACTACAGTAGTTATCATAACAACTTTGTCTAAGGGTGATCAGAATTTGAAGTTATAAATTTAAAAAGTAGAGGGCAGATGCTAGGGAGAGACAGGGTGTTGCTGCTTCCTCCCCTGTTTAGAAAGAATCTTTCTTGGCCATTTCATACTAGTCTATAGTTTAGTTATTTGCACATCAAATCCACAGGCATTTGTTGTGCATTTTGTTGATATGTTGAACATCATGTTAGGTATCAGGGATATAAATTTAAAACAAGTACTCTGTCTAGAGAGGAAAGACAGTGAAATAGGGAATTGTAATATTTTGTTCTATGGGGCCTCAAAAGGGCCTGGAGGGTGGTGTAGGGTGGGGCAGGGAGTGGCAGGGGAGAGGGCGAGGTGGATGTCATGGGCCACTAGCAGCCAGGAAGATGTCAGCATGTTAACCCATTCCAATGCTGCTTTTCCCGAGAGAGCTTCTTGAAATTGTCCAGCAACATAAAAGGTTTCTCTCTCTCTTTAAAAAAATTCCAGTTGTAAAGTGATCTTTAGCTGAATAATAATAAAAAAAGAATAATGATCACAAGTGGGAGGGAATCTCGCTGCCCATCCCTTCTCTGTAAAGCGACCTAAGCTCTCTGAGATGACACAGGGTCATCTCGTTTGTCTCATAGGATTATTGAGAGTCTTAAGAGAGATAACTTGTGTGGGTCATTCCCCAGACCTGCCCTCTTCTTTTATTTAGTAAATCTTCATTGCATTATTTTCATCTCAATAAATATACTGCCCCCTGCACCTCTCTTCCTATGAATGATTCATTCTTTAGTTTAGGTCACCTGGTCTTATCTAAAGGTGCCCTGTACATCTCCTAAAGTTGGGCACCTTTCCCTTTCCAGTCTTTGCCCACTGCCCTCTTTTCTGTGCTGCTGACTATTGTAGCTTTCCCTATTTTACTCATTTTGAAGATAAATTGCATATATACGAGCTTGTGTGAAGAAAGCTGTCATAAGTGAGGATGACTGATGTATCAGAGCGGGGAAGTGGAACAGATTCTGAATGCTGTGTAGGTAATTGAAAAACCCAGGTTTCACTTCTTGACAGGGCCGTTGATAGGGCCATTGTTATTCCTGCAGTGGGCAGGAGGCAGGACCAATAGTGATGTGATCCCAGTATTCTTATTGTAGGATTCCCCGATTCAGTGTCCTCAGGCAAGACCATCTGTGCTTTAGGCTTTTGTTTGTTTATTCATTATCCAGCTTATTCTCCATCAGCCTTCTTTAGACATGGCTTTTATTCTTGATCATATCACCCTGACTCCATAACCAGGAGGAAACGTGATGTGGTCTCATCTCTTTCTTAGTGGCAGCTCTTTTCATTAGGGACACAAGCGTGTGTACATGACACTGATCTATTTAGTTTCCTTGCACTGAGCTCCTTGGTAACTGCTCTTGTACTCTTTTTTGTGGGAAGTCACCTTTATATTTTTTTAGACTCCCTTTAGACGTTTAGACTTGCTTATATTGTGAAAAGAGCACTTAAAGAATGGACAGGTTTATTTGGCCCCAGTTCACTTATTATTTATATTTGGATCAACCCAAAGCTCTACATCGGTGGTTCTAGCTCCTGACTTCATTTTGGAATTACTTAGGCCATAAAAATAACCCAAGCCTCCCCCAAGGCTCCCCCTGCTTTATCAGAAATCTCTAGGCATCCATCTCTCTGGGTGATTCTCAGGCACAGCCACAGCTGAAAACCAAGGCTTTAGGTTTAAACTAGAGGTGAAATTGTGCTCTTTTTCTTTTTGGATTCATTTTCTACTTTAAATTAAAAAAAAAAATCAGGTGAGATGTGTTAGCAATGACATGTATATCTTCAAAAGAGAGGTGTAATTAGGTAGTAACTGCTGCTTGAACCCTTAAATGTTCTGGGAATTTGGAAGTGCCTGCTGCTAGCTGGGAGCAGGGACATAGGTGGTGAGGTAAGAGTCTGGATGGAGGAGTATTTCTCTGTTGTGATTACTAGAAAAATCTAAAATGCTTCACTGCTTCTGCTATTAGGTGACTTTCTCATAGCCAGTAAAGTAGTATACACATGGTCCTGGTGGGGAGGTAGTTATTCTGTCCATTTTGCAGGTAGAAAATTGAGACTTACAAATAAATAACATCCCAGGAGCTGCATGGCTGATGATTAGCAGAGCTGGACATTTGGCCTACTCTCTTCTGCCAGCACTCTTGGTTTCTCCCTTCCACTGTGTTGGAATCACTCATTTTGATGTGAAAATAACTCTGGTGGACAAGGGAGATTTTCTAGGGACTGTGAGAGAACCTTGCTTATTAGTTTTGCAAATTCTAAGATCTCCTTTTTTCCAACAGCTTGTAGGACTTTCATAGTTTCTTTAAATGCCCTCTCCTCATCGTATTATCTTCAAGAGAAGAAGCAGGGTTAACTTTATTTTAATATTCAGGACAGAATGGATGTTACATATCCACTCTAGGTTTGTGGAAATACTAAGATGAGCCCTTTTCTTGGTATTGGCTTTCATCAGTAGGTTCTGTAGGATTGTTTTTCCAAGAGATTAAAAAACAAAACAAAACTAAGCCACAGCTACATCTCAAGATGAAGCCAAGAGCTACCTAGCATCATGTGAAGCTTAAAGAATATTGTCCCCACCCCAGAGAAGGGGCAGGTGACAAGCTTCTGATGTAACTGAAATTGGAGAGTTGGGTGGATCAAAAACAGCTCATTATTACAGTAAATTAACTCATCCCATTTCAGAAACATTTGATATCTTCAAAACATAATAAATACTATAATTTCTCTTGCCAGAAACAAGATATTTTCAGTGACAGTAAAAACCATTAACTTTGCTTTTAATTGACGAGAGATACTGCAAATAGCAAGGAGATACTCTTTGGGAAAGATGAATGCACTGTCCAGTACGGTACCCTTGAAATCCACAGCCTAACAGAGCGTTTGCATGCTCTGAGTGGAGCATTAGCCAGCATGGCTTTTCTGGACAGCCCATTGCTTTGACTTTAGACATTCGGTAGTAAACACTAATGACCTTTTCTGGGGCCCCGCTTTCTGAGGCTTCTTAAGCAGTCTGGCTCTCGCTAGAGTGGGAGTAGAGGCAATTGATAGGCTATTTAGCCCTTTCTGCTTGTAGAGCAAGTGTCTTAGCAGACATGTGTTGAGATTTGTCAAGGATTTCTGAAAGCTGACTGAATTTTTCAGGCAACAGCATGTATTGTATTTCAGTACCTTGGACACGGGAAATTGAAAAAGGCAGGAAATGTACCCTGTACAAAGTGAGGTACCCTCAGAATGTAAGCGAAGAGCTTGCTTATACTGACTCTTCTGCACTCTTCTTTGTTTTGTGTTCATGTAGAAACCCGATGTCCTGACCACGGGAGGTGGTAACCCAATAGGAGACAAGCTTAACATTATCACCGCAGGGCCCCGTGGGCCCCTTCTTGTTCAGGATGTGGTTTTCACTGATGAAATGGCTCACTTTGACCGAGAGAGGATTCCAGAGAGAGTTGTGCACGCTAAAGGAGCAGGTGAGAGCTAAGTTTATTTCTCATCAAAGGATCATTTCAGAACACCTTCGTCAAATTCATTTCCCAAAACGTTGGAGGACCTAAATCAAAGTGCCAAATCTCCATTCTTGTTGGGAGAAACAAAACAAAAAAATTCTACCAATAGAGGAATAAGTAATTAAGTGATGATCTTTTTTGGGGGAAGGTTGAACATTATATATAAAATAGGTCATTTAAAAAATAGTAATGTTTCATTTCTTTCATTGTGCAGTTTAGTGAAGGGATAAAAATATAGAAACTCAGATACAGAAAAATATGCTGTTAACTGCAACTAGATTTAAATGGTGCTCTTACTGGATGACAAACCAAATGAACTGCAAAACTGAGTGTAGTTGTGTTAGAGTGGTGGGTTTGTGGTGATTTTTTTCTCCCCCCTTATCCAGAACTTTTGTCTTAGTTTTATGATGGAAACAAAGGGCTAGAATGGTGTTTAAAAGAAAGCTAGGAAAAAGCTCCATTGAAAAGAAAGAAGAAAAGTTACTCACTTAGCCTGCTTCATTGGACTTCTAGTTAGGACTTCCTAATTTCTTCATGTCTTCTTCCTTGATAAAATTTCTTCCAGTTTTTTCTGCATCCTGTATCTTTTCCACTATGACTTGCTATGCTACTCCGTTTGTTGTTTGGTTTTCTGTTGTGTCTTTGTTACCTGCTGAACCTATTCTTTCCTTCCCTATATTTTCTTTTACTCTCCCCGCTTTTCCACTCTTTGTCTTCTAGGCACGCTGAGGTCCTGTGTCCTTGAGTCAACCTTGCCCAGCTACTCTCAGCCTCGCTCATCTGCCCTTCTTGACTCCAACTGTGCAGTGCTCAGTTGAGCACAAAATGATGGCTGGGCTTTCCATTTTACTCTTTTTATTTTGTTTTTGGACATCTCCCCTTCCCCCATCATAGTGAGCTCCCAGAAGGCTGGTGCTATACCATCAGCTTCTTTTGTCACCTGGTGAGGGCTTGTGTGGTGGTCTCCTGGTGAGGGTTTCTGTATCTTTCTCGTCAGGGGCCTTTGGCTACTTTGAGGTCACTCATGACATCACCAAGTACTCCAAGGCAAGAGTGTTTGAGCATATTGGAAAGAAGACACCCATTGCAGTTCGATTCTCCACTGTGGGTAAGTCAGTTTATTTGCATGACCGAGACTGCTTAATTCAAACTGTACCCTGTTTGGGGCACTTATAACTTAATTTTGAGAAAGACTTATTAGCAATTAGGAAACAAGCATATTGTTAGCAATTAGGAGACAAGCACATTCCAAAATTTTAGCAGGTTTTACAGTTAAAAACAAAAGTATTTGGAGACACGTAGGAAGTTACTTATATTTCTGTTTGTCAAAGGCTTCGGAAATCACCCTCATACAGGGGCCACTGCTGCAATTTTGTGACATGTGGAAAGAGCTTTCCACAAATGGTTGCCTCAAAGGGAAGTGTGGAGTTAGGGATCTTAGGCAATAATCGTGTAACAGGTGTCCTGTATTGAGAATTAAGTTTATCCCAACCATGGTTTGGTGCTTTACAGACATTAATCTGTAGATCGACTTTGCATTTCAGAAAGGCTAAGTGATTTTTCTTCTGCTATAGAGCTAGTATTATACCTTTCATAATGTAATGCAACGCATCACAATGCATGATTAATTTGGTTTTTATGTCAGACTTTGTGCATATTAACAATATTGTGGAATGTAAAAATAACAGATTAAGAATAAACCTATATTTAAACTCATTTCTTAAATTAGTCTCACAATTTTGACGACTCTCTCTGTGGTCACTGTTTTAATCTTCATAATTATTCTCTTGTTATTTTGATGGAGATTTTAATTACTTTCTTAGACATAGTTATGTTAAATGGGTAATATTTTTAGCTGTCATTATATATAGACTCTCTTATTAATCTCAATTAATTTTTTTGTTTGATTTATAGCCCAAATTAGCTGGTGGGTTGTAGAAATAATTCCCCAGGCATTTAAATCCATACTTTACTTCTAGGAAATGGATTGGAAAAGATAGAGCCTAATGTTTCTTTATGACTTTTGGCTGTAAGCACTCTGCCTTATGCTTATATTTTCCCATTTGAATCTTCTAGCTGGAGAGTCAGGCTCAGCTGACACAGTTCGTGATCCTCGTGGGTTTGCGGTGAAATTTTACACCGAAGATGGTAACTGGGATCTTGTTGGAAACAACACCCCCATTTTCTTCATCAGGGATGCCATACTGGTAGGTGATAGCTTGTACTCTACAGATGTGGTTGATTTAAATTGATTTCAGGGCCGGGGATTTAGCTCAGTGGTTCCGTCGCCTGCTGCGCAAGCGCAAGGACCCGAGTTCGATCCCTGGTACCAAAAAAATAAATAAATAAACTGATTTCAGCTTCTATAGGTTGGCATTTGAGGATAACCCCTTGGAAAAGCAGAAGGAAGAGACTTTGAGTTGTCAGGATTGCCCTTTTACATATATTTTTCTGAATTTAATAACATTTCATAAGATCAAGTAAAATTCCCCTAGGTCTTGGATTTGGCATTTTGAGATTCATTGACTCGAAGTAAAGGATGTCAATACATGCGTTAGGTCAGCAGGAAGTATATATTTGTGTGCACATGTGTGCACATGTGTGTACATGTGTGTGTATTTTTTTCTTTAAAGAGATAATTTAGCTTTGAGTGTTTTTAAAATACTTTGGGGTGTCTTATGTACTAGTTTAATTTGCTGGGTAAATTTCACTTTAGCGTTTAACACTATAAAATTAAATGATTGTACTATTTGGAATTAGAATCCATAAGCAAGAGGTAATGTATCCTGTAAATTGCTATCATTCTTGTAAACTTAGTCTTTAAAAATTTCTCTCTCCTCCCTCTCTCTTTTTTCATTTAGTTTCCCTCCTTTATTCATAGCCAGAAGAGAAACCCTCAAACGCACCTGAAGGACCCCGACATGGTGTGGGACTTCTGGAGCCTGCGTCCCGAGTCCCTGCATCAGGTGGGGCCCTTTCCCTCGTCACTGCGTTGTAACATGTCCCCTGCCATGGAACTGGTACCTAGGCCTCATAATTGCTTCTCCAGTTTTGGCTATTTTATTCGGATTGGCTTCAGACTCTCTTTTTGGGATGCTTCCTCACATTTCTTGATCATGAAGAGTTTTATAATGACTGATTTTGTCTTTATTCATAGGCCTTTAGTGGTGATGCTCAATAGCTGGAAACATTGTCAATTGATAGTTAGCAATACTGAGGATTAAAATCTCTTAGTCCAAGGTAAAGCTATGTATTAGGGAAACGAAGGAAAAGTAGTACTAAACTATTTTCCTATTATAGTAAATTTTGAGTAACACTATAGCCTAGTTTTCAGATTTGTTTTAGCTTTCCTCATTGAATTTGGAATCATGATGATAATAATCTCTATGCCATCCTGCTTTAAAATTCTTCTGTTTATTGTTTTCTGTAATGAAATAATAATGGTAACTCTTCTCATGGGATTGGATGGATGTTCCATGTGATTAAGGGATTTTGGGGAAACATAGAGATGTCTTAGAAAGCTGAGATATTAAAGCTGAGATATTTTAGGCTTTCTGTTTCTGTTTCTTAGGTTTCTTTCTTGTTCAGTGATCGAGGGATTCCGGATGGACATCGGCACATGAATGGATATGGATCGCATACTTTCAAGCTGGTTAATGCAAAGGGAGAGGCAGTTTATTGCAAATTCCATTATAAGGTACATGTCGCCTTTGGGGCAGAGGGTGCCAGGCTCCTACATCCCACCTCTTCTTTTTCTCCTGAAGGACTGAGCAGAGATTAAGGGTTCTCCTTACTTCTCTGTTTCCCTACCCCAAGGATGGGCAAAACTGATCTGATTGACCAGCATTATGAGTGTTTTGTTGGCCACCACCCCAGGGAAAAAAAACTCTATGTAGTCTCTTTTAGACTCTTCTTTACATATGGCCAGTGGTAAGAGCACTTGGCTGCTGTCAACTGTTGAAGCTTCCTTCAGTTTTAAATATTTAATGTGCATATGGAATTTCCTTGACATTTAAAAGAATCGGGGGAAGCAAGTAAAATTTGTTGTTGATAAATTCTTTGATATCAGATTTGATCAACAGAAGCATTGCAAGAAAGCTCAGTCTTTGCTAGTGTTATTCATAATCCTTCGGTGAATTACTGATTAAATTTGGATGAGTTGGACAGTAAATTTCAGTTGAGCTTCTTTCTTTCATTCTGTAGACTGACCAGGGCATCAAAAACCTCTCTGTTGAAGAGGCAGCAAGACTTTCCCAGGAAGACCCCGACTATGGCCTCCGTGATCTTTTCAATGCCATTGCCAATGGCAACTTCCCAACCTGGACTTTTTACATCCAGGTCATGACATTTGATCAGGCGGAAACTTTTCCATTTAACCCATTTGATCTCACCAAGGTAAGTCAGCCACAACTGCATTGCTTTCTTCTCTAAGTCTCTTCTTAAAAGAGTTCACAGTGACAAGTGATGGTAGCACTTCCAGGTCTCCTGGCTTGTACGTGCCCGCCAGCATGTCACTTCTGTGCTGCTGCCCCGGAGCTTCACTGGGCTCATGTGGGTTCACCAAGGTGGCTCCAGGTATTGCTAGTGGCAGGAAACAGAATTCAAAAAACAAATGTACTTTTGCTCTGGGAAAAGGTCAATATTTACCATTTGCTATTGTGGAAGATTAAATTAATACATTGACCTGAAGTTCTGAATATGTTTTATTGGGCTCAGTATTATTTTTGCTGCTTGATTATATTTGAAAGTTGGTATTTTTCGGGGGACCTTTAATGTCTTTCACTTGGCTGACTGGTAATTGTGACCATGACACTGTTTTCAGATTTGGCCTCACAAGGACTACCCTCTTATCCCAGTTGGCAAACTGGTCTTGAACCGAAATCCAGTTAATTACTTTGCTGAGGTTGAACAGATAGCCTTTGACCCAAGCAACATGCCACCTGGCATTGAGCCCAGCCCTGACAAAATGCTTCAGGTAAGCCTGGGGGATTGCGATGTTCTGCACACACAAACACAACAACCACAGGTGACAATTCATTGTGATTTTTATGTGAAGAGTTAATTAGAATATTTACTGAAACCTAAACCTGAGTGCTTAGTTCCTTGTGGGCCTTATTGGGTTATAAGACCCTTAGAGGGACATTCCTTGAGATGACCAGTTATAAGTGAAGTTCCATAGAACCGTCCCTCCCTATGCGAAGACATGGATATTTAGTCTCTTAATTAAAAAAAGACGACATAATAGAAGTGCTGTAGGTATATGTAGAGTAACACACAATTTGTTCAGTTTATAGCTCATGGAGAGAATATAATTAATTGATTTTAACATCTTGGTGAGCGTAACTATCCTTTTGTTTTTTTGAGGCTTGGTCTTACTGTGTAGTTCAGGCTGGTCTTGAACTCACTTTGTAGCCCAGGCTGGCCTCAGACTTGCAGTGTTCCTCCTGCCTCAGCCTCATGAGTGCTGAGATTACAGGCATGTACCACCACAGCTTCCTCTATCCCTTTTCTTTTTTTTTTTTTTTGGACCAGGGATTGAACTCAGGACCTTGGGCTTTCGAGACAGGCAGTGACACCACTGAGCTAAATCCCCGGCCCAGGGACTTTTTTTTTTTTAATACTGGAGATTGAACCTAAGGCCTTCACACTAAGCTATATCCCCAGCCCTTCTTTAATTTTTTTATTTTGAGACAGAGACTCGCTAAGTTGTCCAGACTGAACTTGAACTTTCAGTCCTCCTTCAGTCTTCCAGAGGGTTGGGATTATAGGCATGCACCACTGTGCCTTGCTATAGGAACAATTTTTATGAACTAAGTTTATGCTGCCAGTGATTAAAGGTGGTGGATTAGTTTAATTACCTATCTTGCTGAAATTGCTAGGGATTCAGCATGTTTTAAGTTACATTTCAATATGCTGTTTCAAAAATATAGAGTGAAAATTCTACTTTGGACCAGAAATCAGTGGGAAAATAATAGGCTTAATAATTATTTGTAAACCAGTCTTCTGTGTGTTTGGACTACGAACATGAAACAAAGGCTCAGGTTATACCCAAGATGAGATCACAGTGCCTGAAGGTCAGCGCTTATGTAAGTTCTAGCTGCAGGGCAGGCGTCAGTGTCCACAGAGGACAAGCTAGGTTTCCCATGGTTTTGCTAAGTAACTTTTTTTGTTATGGCATTGGAAGCATCTGAGGCTTTTATATATAGCAAGCTTTTCATTAGTTTTTGGCTCAATTTAACTAATATAGATTGAGTTTCCGGGTCCTATGACAGCAAAGCACGAGATACTCATAATGTGAGGCAGAGAGAATCCATACTCAGAATTTTGTCTGATAGAGGGTCTGTGACAGAGTTGTAAGAACAAGGTGGCATTTGAGATGGGTTTTGAAGAATGAGTGATTCTGATGTTTAACAGGTAAAATGAGAGGTGTAGTCACTCTGTCCTGAATGAGAAGAGATTAATTGAGTCTGTGGCAGGGGAGACCTTAAATGCCTGGGTGGAAGTTTGTACAGTTTTCCCTTTACTAGGAAAAGAAAAATTTCTTCAGTTTTGAGAATTATGGTCTAGTAGATATCTATCAGATTCATTCTCAGTAATAAATAGAAAAAGAGGGAGCCAGAGGTTGGAAAGAGACATCCCAGCAGATTATAGAGGGTAAGCACAAGAGCGTGCTTTGAGACGGGGGGATAGAAGAGGCTAAGCCTGGTGACCCCGGCTCCACACGTCCCCTGCGTAGTAGGTGGGAGAGAGCTGAACTGTGTGACCAAGGAGTCAGCGGGGTTCGCCAAAGCATGGGATTGTCATAGACTGAGCTAAGGCCGTGTAGCCTTGTACTGAGGAAGCAGGAGTAAAAAGTCACCCAAAGTCTTTTCACAAGAGTCCAAGTCACCATGGGTCTGTGGGACCACAGTTGGATCGGCAAACAGCAACCCCGAGTCACACACCTGGCAGAACATTGAAGATCTGAATGGTGAACTAGGCCCAGGGGAAAAGACCACATGCTAGCAAATGCATGATGTCTACAACCAAAACCAGCCAGTATATTTATGAGGCATCTCTTGAAACTGTGGAGCCAGGTGAGATTATGCATATCTGTAACTCTAGCACCCTGGGAGGCTAAGGCAAGAGCATCACAAGATCGAACCCAGCCTGGGCAGCTTAATGAGACCCTGTCTCAAAAAGCACGACAAGTAGAAATTAGGCATGGAATTTCCATTAGTATTAATTTCAGTTCTGACAAATATATATAGTTTTAATTTAGTATGCTATCTTTATAGTTTTTTTGAGTGAGTTTTTAAAAAGTAGTTGAAAGAGCTCTCGTGGGTTTATGAAGTTATTGTTCCTGGCCTAATTTTCCTAACAACTTCTCAGGTCATTGAGCCATGAATTCTATTCCATGCGACATTTTAGGAACCACATGGTAGGGAATAACTGTCCCATTCATGCACCTATTTAGTGGCCAGTGAGGAATTGTTTAAGGTGTTTATATAGGGAAATACTGTAATATGAGTGGGGCCTTTGGAAGATTCATTTGCAGAAATACGTAGGATGTATTGTTGGAGTAGGGACTGGAAGTGGAAGGCCAGTTAGGAGGATCCTAAAACTATTCCTGATGAGAGCCAATGAGGGCCGTAGCTTGGGTGGTGGCAGTTGTGTTAATGGCCAGTGCTCTCGTTTACCTGGCAACAAGCTCATACTAACCCGTCATCACACTTTACCCAAGGTGGTGAGCCCACCCACTGTGGAACAGACCAACTGGTGTAATGTAAGTCACAGCGAGACTGTCCCTGAGCTCCTCACAGTCCAGCTTCCTCTTTCCCTCCCACATGCTGCAGTGCACCAGGTGGAGTTGGAAAGGAAGAGGGTCCAATTGCTCGAGTGGGAAGATATCGCTCTGCTTTCTCCCCCAGGCCCAATAGTGGGTTAAGTTTAGGGGCAGGTCCAGGAATGGCCTCGTTGTGCCCATTTCCCAACCTTTGTGGGTTTCCACCCATAGATGGTGTCGGCTTACCAGATAAGCATAAGGTGATGTACAGCCGGAGTGATACCGTAGAGACCACTTCAGGAGCAGGTCCTGGCTTGATCATATCTTCTATCCCTGTCAGTAGACTACGACTTCTTGAGCCAAAGAAGGCAACCAGCCTCTAACCTACAACTAAGTCTTAGTCATGGTTGCATGGTCTGTAATTTACAAATTATTTTAGACTACTTGAGATGATTATGGGAAGTAGAGTCATTCAGCCAGAAGCAAATTATTGACAGAACAGTGGGACTGGATTAAGCATGTTGATATGAGTAATTTGGTACAAATGATTACTCAAGTTACCCTCATTAACTAAGTTTTTATTTTGCCTTGTAGAATGAGGGACATAAGAATACGCTTTAAGATTCAAAGCCAGTGTAAAGTCAGTGAAAGAAAAATTGCTGACAGAACAGAGCTTTGAGTAATGGGAGTCCTTCAATAATTGGATATTCAGATTAGTGCAGGTTAATCATAAAGCTTTTGACTGGAAAGAATTTCACAGTGCTTGGCATCCTTCCTTGATTAATAAGTTATCCGTGGTACCGCCGCCTGCCTCACAAGTGCAAGGCCCCAAGTTCGATCTCCAGTACCAAATAAGTTATCAGTTAATCTTAGACTCATCACTTTTGGCATCTCAGACCTGTCATTGGACCAAAGCTTTTTTGTATAGCACTGTGCTTGTATCTAGAAAGTCTCAGAGCTTAAAAGCATATCTGAGAGAATTCAGAAGGCTACACAGGAAGGGCTTCTTTGAAGAGTTTCCACAGTTAGTTTTCTAGAAATGCGCTTCTTAAGAGCAGATGTTTGATTCTGCCCCTTAGTGAGACAGTGGGAGAGGTGTGGAATTAATTCAGGATTCTGGTTAGTTAGATTCTAACAAATTTATTTTATAATTCAATACTTCTTTAGGATGGGAAATAATACAAGACAGGATATGATCTTGTCGCTTGCGTGAGAAAGAGGCATTGTTATTGGAGTAGATGCGAAGTTTCTGGTTGGCCATAGGGCATGGAAGATGAAGGCTGGTTCTCTTCTGAGCAGACACCTGGCTTTTTGGAGTGGGGATAGCCAGGGCCATGCCTTAAATTCTAAAGTGATGGGTATAGCCGTGTCCTATCTCATAAGCAACCGCCCCAGCCAATGTCTGTTTTGCTTGTTACCCCAGGGCCGCCTTTTTTCCTATCCTGACACTCACCGCCACCGCCTGGGCCCCAACTATCTTCAGATACCTGTGAACTGTCCCTACCGTGCTCGAGTGGCAAACTACCAGCGAGATGGCCCCATGTGTGTGAACCACAACCAAGGTAGGCTGCAGGCACTGGGCTGCCCTGCGGAGCCAGGCCTGGGGTTCTGCGGTGGCCCACAGTGACAGTGCGCCACAGATGCTGCAAGGAACCTGTGTTTTGTGCTCTGCAGTGAAGGTTTTAACTCCCTGAGGGCTCTCCCCTCTCCAATCTGTTTTACATCTTTTACTGAGCGTGCCCACCTCAGATTTACTTGCTGTCCATCCAGAAGTGGAAGGCAGGGAGAAAGATCTCTTGCTGGCTGTAGTCAGGCATATCCGACTTAAGGGGTCACAAAATGGACAGTTCCTGAAATCACTCCTTAATCACCAGAACTTAGATTTTTGGAAATGCAAAAGCCAAGAGTTCACATCTTCCGCCTCTTTTTGCAGTTCTGTTGAGCCATGGAAGAGTAGGTCCAGCTAGAGTTTGGAAGGGATAGGATGGGCAAGTGGAAGGGAAACAGGGGAGGTGGAGGGTCTCCAGGAACTCTCCCCCTCTGCTTCTCAGTGAATATAGTTGAATTCATGTAAATCAGCTGGTGAGCCAAGACCCCACTGCATTTATGATTTTTTTTTTCCTTTTAATTACTTATTTTGGTGCCACATGCAAACAAACTCTAGTTTTAATTACTTTAAACAGCCAAGCAGAATGTTTGATTAGCGTTTTTCTTTTATTACTCCACAGGTTAATATGGATCTGATCGTATTAGGATACATGTGCTTTAGCAATAGGGCTGCTTCAGGAATTTCACTGGTGATTTATATTTATAGCCATAGATGTCTATATTAAAAGAAAAGTTATTTTTTATAATAAAATAATACATGTTCCTTAAAAGAAATTTGGGAAATATAGGAGAAGAAAAACCCACTCATGGTCCCAATATCCAAAAGGCCATGACTATTATATTTTTTAGATTGTCTTGTGCTTTGGTTTTGATATTGTTACTAAGCCTTGCCATGTATTTAACAAATTTATATGCTTTCTGACCAGTTTTATTGTTGGTTGCAGTATTTCTGATGCCTAGAGTTTATAGAGACATAAACTATGTTATTGTCTGTGTAGCTCATATTCCCTGTGTCTGTCTTCTGCACTTTCATCCTTCTTTTCTTTTCTTTTTTCTTTTTTTATTCATCTGCCTTGGTCCTTTTGTTATTCAGACTGTCTATAGCAAAGATGTTCACATGTATTCTGAACTTTATTAATAAACAACCACTTCATTAATAAGCATTCTTAGTTACCATTACAGTGGCGTGCCTGTGAGAAAGCTACTGAGAGCTGTATTTTAACACATTCTACCAACATTTAGAAGTCAAGAATTTGGGCTGTGCCCTGAAAGCTTCGTAAAGAGCTTAATTGTTCTCAGTAGTCAGTGCCTTCCGGACAATTCCCACTTTGAGGAAAGGTCAGGGCTTACTTGGATAGCATTTAAAAATTATGCAGATAGGCACATTTCAAAGAGCTTAGGGCAGAGACCCCTGGTGGCTGGCTGTTGGAACTTTGTGCTTTTCATGGAAACACGGCTGACCTAGGACAGATTTCCTGAGCTAAGAACTGAGGTCCATAATGGTCTGGTGTCCTCCTTTCCTCCACACAAAGACTTGGTGCTGTGGTCAGTGTGTACGTGCACATCTCCTAATTACCCTCTGTAGTCAGTCTGTTCCGGCAGCGGCAGCGAGCTAGGTGGAATTCCAAGTGTGGGCTGGGTGTTTGTACCACGTACTGCATTTCCGGGCCACTGCTCTTTAGGCAGTGTGGGCACAGATTGGCTAAGCTTCTGCTAATGTCAGCCAGGGCAGAGTATAGCATGGTAAATAAATACGATGAAATGGGAAAAAAATGCCTTATTCCAGAAGTCATAGAAAATGTTTTGATTATATTTGTTACTATTTCTTTCTATGAGCCCAGATAAATAATTGCTCACATACTACAAATATAAAGTTTTTTAAAAACCCCTTCTTTTTTTGTTATCTGTGGAGAAATGTGAAAGTGAGGCTAGAACTGAATAAAGTCATCGCAGTCAATAAAGGAGAGCTACCCTGAAAACCTTAAAACATGGGAAGAATAGTAAAACAGAATTCTGTAATGGAAATACAGTACATGCTGGGCTGGAAGAGACAAAATACCCAGAGCTTTCATCCCACACCTGCTCCTGCCTCCTGGGGGGAGTTTTGGTAGCAGCCAGTGAAGATCTGGGTCCATACTTGCTATGTAAATTGAAGGAGTAGGACCAGAACGTCCACACTGCTCCCAGGAATCTGTGACTCAGTATTTGAATGGAGCCCAAGTCCCAATGAAACTCTCAAATTTGTGGTGCGTCCTTGGGTCTGATCTCAGTGGTGGCCAAAATGAGTCTTCTAAGATATACACTTGTGCAGGTGAGTATAGCTGAGAGCCTTTGAAGTGTAGAAATGAACTTGGAGATCTCTCTGTTCCAACTCAGGCTGAGGTGGTCTGGATGAGCAGTTAAAGATGCATTGCAGCATTCTAGCTGGGCATGGGGGTGCTACCCACCTGTGATCCCAGCTACTCTGGAGGCTGAGGCAGGAGGCTTGCAAGTTTGAGGCCAACCTGGGTTACTTAGCAAGACCTTGTCTCAAAAAACAAAACAAAACAAAACAAAAGAAAGTGGCTGGAGCTATAGCTCCAGGGAAAAAGAAAGAAGTACTGCATTCTCTAAAACCTCAAACTACCTGTAGCTAAGTACAGGATTGAAAAATCACATCCACGTGGCATGTTTATCTGAGTACATGTGTATTTGCTACATGAGTTTATTTCTTCCCACATGGACTGCATGCAGACTTGCTTCCTTTCATATTCCTGAGTGATTGTGTGGTTTCCTTTCAAGGTGGTGCTCCCAACTACTACCCCAACAGCTTCAGCGCCCCGGTGGAGCAGCGCTACGCCCTGGAGCACACCAGCCGCTGTTCTGCAGAGGTGAGGCGCTACAACAGTGCTGATGAGGACAACGTCACCCAGGTAATGGTTCCGTGTCTGCTGTGGCACTCACTTCTAATTCTCCTTGTCAGTGTCTGCATTTTCTCCCTCTTAAAGTGTCTCATGTGTCTTAAATTGAACTTATAGAAGACTTACTTCTCTTTCTTAATCAGGCCCTTTATTGGATGGTGTAGAAGACTTGTGTTCTGCTTTTATTTGTGTTCACGGTGTGGGGACAGATCTCATTTCCCCCCAAAATCTATTGAGGGCATCCGATTAAGGCCACTGGGAAATGTGATCTCATGGAAATGTAAGAAATGGGCAAACACAGCTCAAACACCAGCAAAGCTAAACATGTGGGCAAATCCCAGGGTCTAAGATGAACCGGGGAGCCACAGTAGCCTTTGGAGCCCTTGGAGAAGAGTGTGGGGGGCCTTGCACGCAGGCTCACCCACCACGCAGGGGACTCAGTTGCTCTGCAGCTGCTGCTTCTGCTTCCCACCGAATAAGGTAACTCCTTATTCCCACGGCATCCTCCTGTTTTTCCCTTCGGTGCCCCACGGCTGCTCCTTTCCAGCTTCTTCTTCCTCGAGGTGTTTATTACCTTTTTTGTCCACCTTCCACTCATGCTTTCAATGCTGCTGAGTTGGTTTTAGAGAGAGAGAGAGACAGATTGACTTGGCTTATCTCTTCCCGTCAAGTTGTGTCGTTGGCCCTTGGTCAGCCCGTAGTTAAGCACCCCGGTCAAGTGCTCATCCTGTTTCCAGTTGCCCGAGGCTGCCCTATGGGCACATTGAGTAGTGGCTGGGTTGGGCCTGTGCCTGGGTGACCATCTCAGTAACACATCCAGTGTGGCTTATGCTGCACACAACAGAAGGCTGAAGTTAGAAGTACTGTTGTTCTGGAGATCTGTGTGGATAGTTTGTGTTAAATGTAGAATCTGAATTACATTAGAACCTGTGCTAGTCAGCTTTCCCGTTGCCGGGGCAAATCACTTGACACCCACAGCTTACAGGAGGAGAGGTTCATTTGGTTCAGTTTCAGAGGTTACGGTTTATGGTGGCCAGCTCAAGGCAGAAACAACATGGCGGAAGCTACTTAGTTCATGGTGGGTGGGAAGCAGAGCAGGAACAGAGCCCAAGACGAATGGGGCAGGGACCCAGGATAGGCCCCAAAGTTGCTTCCCTGATCTACCCAGAAACACCCAGAAGTGTGCTTTATTAATCCCCTGGCGGCTCCCAGTCCAATCAGGTTGACAGTCTTAAATATCACAGATCCTATTTCTAGTTTCTCATTTTGAGAATGTGGATTCCAAGCAAAATATACTAAATACATGAGTGAATTCACTATGAGGATCTTTGTTTGAAGGTATTTTTTGGGCGTATTACTTTATTGTAAGTTGTGAATCATATTTAGATGAGCTTAAAGTATCTCCTACAAGCCTTTGGCAGTAACTTCATTGCTTTTAGTGATGCAGGGGACAGCAAGTATGTATAGTGCACTCTCTGCATCTCAAAGAATTGTGCTTTTTTGAGGTCAGTACAGGTATTGAAGCAGCTCATACAACCCCTGCAAAAATTAATTAAATGAGGCTATTGTGTATGTTTTAAAATGAACTATATGATCCTCTTATTTCATTGAGATATTTTCTTATCACTATGTAGGACTCACATTTTGAAGTAGTCCTGACAGCATAATTGTGCCACATGGGAAAGACATAAACAGGTTCAGATTTATTCTCCTAAGAATGAGTCACTTGGATTTCTACTTCTGACTGTGGTGGACTTGCTCATATCAGACCTGTCCTCTGATGGTGAACCCTGGAAAGCTAGATACAATAGGACAAGCATTTGCTGAAGGCGTTGAGTAGCCAATGAAGCAAGATTTAAGGATCTCAGAACCTAAGATTTCAGACAGAAAAAAAAGTTACAGGAAAAGACAAGTTCCAAGAGGGAAGGCTGACATTTGTCGTCCTCTCCTCATAAGGTATTTGTTAGCCAGTGAGCATTGGTGAAGCTGAGCGGAGTGGACAGCAGTTTCATGAGGCCAGTGATGGTGAAGTTTTTTTTGGTTTCAATGATATCAAACAGCTGGCTGTGGCACCAGTGCCATAGGTTCACCACCACTGGTCTAGAGAGGTAGAACTTGGAGTTGAGGGCCTGCCAGGGAGGAGAGCCTCTAGTTTCCACCCCACGCTTCAGTTGGAAAAACTTCTCTTACTAGAGCTGAAACACAACTTTTCACCAGCTCAGACTCAGACTAGACAGAGGTGATGCGTTGGAAAAAGGAAATCATTTATCCTCTGCTCTCACATCTCTAAAACAGCATAGACTTCTGCGACCTCAAAACAGATGAGGATTTGTCCCGACCAACCAGCAAGCAGTCAGTTCTGCGGGGACATCAGCTGCAGCTGCATGTCCTCTAAGCCAGTTCAGTATTGATATGAGGTGAACCAATGGCTCAGTTCCCAACACTGTCCCCCACTTCTGATGCCAGCCACAAGCGCCTGGTGTTTTGCTTGTGTTTGAGATTGATGAGTTACAAACCCGAGTCCCCATATGCCCCTCCTCGGGTTTGGTTTGGTTAATTTGCTTGAGTGGCCCAGAGAACTCCAGGACACATGTTTATTGGTTTATTATAAAGTAAAGGATACAGATGAAGAGCTGTATAGGACAAGGTAGGGGAAAAGGGGCACTGAGCTCCCATGCCCTTGCGGGGAGCACCAGCCTGCGGGACCCTCTGCGCAGTCAGCTGTCTGGAAGCACTCTCAGCCCTGTTTTCTTTTGGGTTCTTGAGACTTCCGAGTGTTATCTAATACTAATAGATGGAGGGGTGGTGGTGGTGGTGGGGAACCCAGTAAGGCCTGTCTGTCCAGATTCTTCTTGACCTCCCTGTGTAACAATCCTTCCTCCAGGGTGTGGGGGAGGACCTCCGTGGAGTGAGGGCGTTAGGACCTACTGTCAGATGAGAGTAGATCAGAGAATTTCTTTATGGATGGTTCTAGGACAGAAAGGGAGGGGAAGATGAGTTTCTATGACCTGCCTTGGGGAAGAGAAATTCTATCTAGTTTGTATGGCCTGTCTTCGGGAGGGAGTTATAAGATAGGAACCATGGACAGAACCCAAAATATGTATCTCATAATATCACAGGTGATCTCTCTCCACTGTAACTGCTTGCCAGAGGCAAACATAAATTTTTGGCAGAAAATAGAACCTCAAATTATCTCCAGACCTTTTCATGTGCAGTTGTTCAGCGTTCAGGAATAAATTATCAGGCACACATAACACATAAAACCTTATAGCTGAAAATCCAGACAAGGGGAGAACCCCCCACCCCAAACTGACTATAGAAACACATCTACTAAAAGATGGAGATAATGCAATTGTTGGATACAGGCTTTAAAATAACTGAGATAACTATTCAAGAAGAATATGACACCATGGAGACTTTAATAAAAGAACTTTATAAAGATTGAATGGGAATCCTGGACTAAATAATGGAACAACTGAAATTAAGAATTTAGGGAATGGTTTTAAAAGGGCATTATTAACACAGCTGAAGAGAAAATTAGTGAATTAGAAGGTAGAGCTCCTAAAAAGAGAAAAAAAGAGCTTCTCTTCATTGTGAGACCATTTAGAGATTAAAAAGAAAAGTCATAGGGTGGGGAAAAAATACTTGTGAATCATCTAACAAATGATGAACACACAGGATACGTGAGGACCTCCTAAGAGCAATACGAAAAAGAGAGACAACGGAATAGGAAAATGGGACTTGGCTTTGTAAACTGACACTTCACCAAAAGAGATAGATACCCGAGGGGGCAAGAAAAAAAAAAAGGAAAATGGTTTACCTCATTAGTCATCGGAGATATGAAAATAAAACCACAAAAGAAACACTACTACACACGTACTAGAATGGCTGAGTTGAACAGGAATGGCTGTACCACATGTGGGGAGAGTGGGGAAAAGCTCTACCTCACGTATGAGTATAAACTGGTTCAGCTATTCTGGGAAAGTGTTTGACATTATTAAAGCTGAACATGTGCGTGCCATTGACCTCACAAGTCCTCTGTGAAGTTGATACCCAATGGACATCTGCATATATGACTACCGGAAGCATTTACAAGACCATTCAGGTTACCCATTCATTAACCAAAGAGTGGATGGACAGCAGTATATTCTCACAGTGTGTACCAATAGAAATCCATGGACTATTGCAATAAAGCGAGAATACAGATACATCTTACAAACTTGGCATTGAGCAAAAAGCCAGACGAAAGAATATAGACTGCATGATCTTTTTATGTAAACTTAAAAAAAGCCAAAGTACAGGTAGAAGTACAAATATTCTCCTTGGAGGAGGAGAAAAGGGTTAGTGAATGGGAGAACCCATGGCGAGAGGATTTCTGAGGTGAGGATATTGTTTCACCTTGACCGGGTGGTGGTTATGCAGTTGTGTTTGCTGAAAACATCACTGAACTTCACACTTAGACTGATGCCTCACACTGAAAGGTTATTAAAGAGAACAAAGAAGCCTTCCTATTTGGTATTGACTAGTAAAAACGGGACTTTTCTAGTGAAAAAGTTGGTCCTGCCATTAAGGGTCTGTGGTTAAAGTGTGGAGATATAGAAGTAGCTAAGAATCCCTGTTTGGTTAGTCAGTAAAACAGCTGTCACGTTTGTGGAATCCATGCCTTCCTGCAGAGATACTGGACTATATAGAGATGGCCGATGTTAGCCAGGCATAAGAATACCCAAGTCAAATCACTGTAGCGCCTCTAGTGGCCAACATGCCTTTTACCTGAAGGGTCTTGAATGCTGAAGCTACCATTGGGTGATAAAGGTTACCGTGTGTGGTATTCACAGTGTACAGTAGTCTTAGGCCGCAAGCTGAAATAGTTATGCTCTTTATTTTTTTATATGTATTGGTACTTTAAAAAATCGTTAAAATCATAAATTAACCAAATCCATGGAGGAGCAAGAATTTTATATGGCTTTTATTCAGTGGTGTGTTGACAGATATTTAACAGCTGGATCTCTGGCAGAGAAAGGCTTGGTTTACAGCATCTGTCAATTTTCATGGTAGGACTATTCCCCAGGGCAGATTTCAAGCTACCAACACGAAGTCACTGGACCCATGGCATTGGGAAGTGATACTGTCTCATGGATTGCTACCAGAGAGCTACAGTAGACATGTTACATGTGATAATTAGACAATGATATGTTTTGGGTATTTAATTGTGTATATGTATAATTTACTTTTGATAAAGGCCATCAACAATTTGCTCACAAAGTCCCTGAAGATGTGACAGTGTGCTGTCACAATAAGCTAGCTGCAGTGTACCACTGGGGGTGCAGTTACAAATTCCTTTTTAGTCCAGGGTGGTAGATTGAGGTGACATAGAGGCTTTCCTTTTTCTGCTGACCCATAGACATGCTAGATTTAATGTTTTTATTTAAAAAAAATAATGTAGCTAAGCTAAAACCTACCTTATCTTCAAGTCCTGGAAATGGAGTCACAGTAGTAAGTGAACATTGAAGGTATATAAATCGCAAGGAAGTATCAGACCTGATTTGCCCCCTTGTGACTATTTTATGGCTTCCAGGGGCTAGGAGTTGAAATTTCAGGCTTCACATGTTGCAGGGAGCTAGAACCAGTCTCCTGGCATAATGGCGAGGACCTGGAAAGAGCGCCCCAGTGGATAAACTCAGTGCACCAGGCTGAGAATGCAGCTTGGAAGCATTTGGGCTCTAGAGGAAGTGATCAGTCCAGAGAAATTGAGAGCCATTTCTCTCTGCTGTGCTGAAGTGAAAGCTCTGCAGTTTTGTTCCACTGAGAGCCATACGGGACCTCTGAGCTGAGAATCACATGTTATCAGGAACAGTTCAAGGCCTTTGTAGCGGTGATGTGAAAATCACCACATGAAGACATCTCAAATAGGATGCTTTTGGTTCTTCTCCAGAGGTGACTCCTGTTGATGATGAGTTGCCATACATACAGGGAAAATCACAGCACATGCAGAGAGACCAGTGCAGCAAGACATTGCACATGCAGTAGACAGAAGAAGCACACACATGATCATGTGAAAGTGGCTTCAAAGTAAGCATGTGTACAAGCCTAAGGAGGCACAAAAATGCAGGTCACCCATAAGAGCAATAGGACATGAGGGGGAAAAATGTAGATTTGAAAAAGGACCCAATAGAAATTTCTAGAAACATTAAAAATACAGTGTTTGAGAGAAAACTTGAACAGCTATATAGAGACTCAATGGATATTTATATAAAGCATTAGACAAAGCTTAAGAGAGGATTTGTGAATTGGAAACATATGTGAGGAAATCCACAGGGTACAGTGCTTCAGTTGGATTATGTTAATATTGAAAGTTTGATTTTTTTAAAGTTTGGTGTTGAATTTAAACTTTGCTTAAGTGTGGAAAAGTAATATCCTGATATTAATAATTTAGAGAAATGAGACATATCTTAATATTTTATGAATTTGTTACTTTGGATAACTGGGTATTATTGACCTTCATAAATATTAATAGAATAGAGCATAAAGCAGAGTCTGGCACAATACATATTTGTCGAATGAATGAATGAAATGTTAGAAAAGCTACAACCTAGAAATGATTGATTACAAAATTGAACAGAGAGTACTAGAGCTCACATACCTGATACTGAGCTCCTATTTATAATTTTAATCTCTTGGTATTTATTCTCGGGATGAACCCAATAATTCAAGCAAAATATCACTGTTAATATCTGTCTTGCCCAAGAAGTTTTGACTTCTGAGTAGCTGCAGACATAAATGTATATAAATAAATTAGTTTTTTTTTCCTCCCTGGTCCTGGGTAAATTAAACCGAGGCTGTGTTGTGCTAAGTTTGCGTTCCGAGACAGCTTTCACCTTCTGGACTGGGTAGATTTAGACTGCAGGGGGGTTTAACCGTAGATGCTGTATTTACAGAAGGTTCCTAAGGGGTGACTGCGAAGGAAGTTATCGAGAAGCTGCTTTGTGCTATTATCAGCAGGTGAATCCCTCCCGTTTTGTTTTCAACAAAACAAAGAATGAAGAACTGAACACAAATACATTTCAGTTTTAATTTTAAATTATCCTTAAACCTACACATGTTCATTGGCACTTGAAACATGGCGTGTTGGGGGAGTTTTGTCCCTGGTGAGCTGGTTATTTGATTCTTGGCGCACGCTCTTCGCCCAGCAGGTGCGGACCTTCTATACAGAAGTGCTGAACGAGCCGGAGCGGAGACGCCTGTGTGAGAACATCGCCGGCCACCTGAAGGACGCTCAGCTCTTCATCCAGAAGAAAGCGGTGAGTCCGTCTTTGCCAGCTGAAGGGTGACACCTGCTGGCCCAAGGCGATATTGCAGCTGTGTGGAAGAACCCTCGCAAGAGTGTCATTTCTGTTACTTGAGCTAAGAAGGTCTTTAGAAAAAGGTAATACAGTGGACCCTCAAGTCACAACTGGCCTGGCGTACAAACAGCATGGGTTAATTAGGTTAATGGAAAGTTCATCTGCTTCTTGTTATCTATAGCGTGTACCCAGGTAAACATCCAGATCTGAGCTGTAATGACTTATAACCAACTTCAGTTACAACCAGCCCTCAGGAACCAATCAAGTTTGTAAGTCAAGGGTCCACTGTACTCCTCAGTCAGCCTTTCTTATTTTCTCTTCGTGTTTTATCTGGTATGACATGTTCAGAGTGTATTCTCTCCTAACTGCACCCGAGTTCTGTACAACATAGTAAACATCTGGTATCAAAATGGCTCCTGCCAGTTTTGCTTAAGCTTTAGGTAATAAGAAACATAGCTTACGTTTTTTTGTGGTTTAAAATCTGCCTACAGGGCTTAATGTGATGACATATCGACCCTGTTCCAGATGCAGTCTAGAAACTTCCTGTTTTCTTCGGGGAGAGCTGCCCTGCTCTAAATGCAGGCCCGGCTTTGGAGCTAAGGGGCTAAGATTTTTCAAATAGCTGCTCAGGAAGGCCTCTGACTTTTGGTGTGCTGCAGGTCACAGAGATGTAAACCTAGGAACACTGCTATTCCCTTGTGTGTTGGTTGTTGTGCACCTCGGTTCAGGAGTCAGCCGACTTCGGTGGTTGCTCTGTGGGATAGGCAGGTGGGTTTTATCTCATTTTACTTATGAGGGTGGGTAAGACAGTTTGTAAGAATCAGGACTGGAATCACACCCTGAGCAGTCTTGTCTGACATAGGATGAAAAAGTAAGGCTTCCTATGGGTTCACGATGCCCTCTTTCCCCTTTGCCTGCTGGGCTCAGCCTATGATCAGGAATCCTGCCACCCAGGGGTGATGTAATCATCACTCTAAATTTGGCAGCACCTGGCCCAGTTTTTGATACAAATCACTGTAGCTTATTAATTACTTATCTGAGCTCAGCTCTTCACATGTAGTAAATGCAGCTCAGCTCATGTGTTTTTCTCATGATATTCTGTGAGGTTGGCTGTGCCCCCCCGCCATAAGAAGCAGTTTTCTAATTCTGACAATAACCTGGCATCTTATAAGTCAGTTCAATTCAGACAGTAAATCCCTGGAGTACGGCTTAACCCTGCAAGATGCTCCCACTTTCAATGCCAGTTGAGATCCCCTGGCTGTCCACGCTTCTGCAGATTCTCACTACAAACATGGGGTCCCCATGTGCCTTCCTTGGGTTTGATGATTTGCTAGAATGACTCAGAATTCAGGAAAGCACTTTACCCATTTTTTATAAAGCCTACAACTCAGGACCAGCCAAATGGAATAGAATAAGTATACATGGCAAGGCATGTGGGAAGGCGTGGAGCTCCCATCCTGCCCAGGTTTGCTACCCTTCCAGGACCTTGATGTGCCTACTGACCCCGAAGCTCCTTGATCCCTGTCATTTAGAGGTTTGTAATGGCATTTTCATGATATAACATGTGTGCTCAGATCATTGGCTATGCATGGTACAACACAGACTCCAGCCTTCCTTCCTCACTGGAGGTTCGGGGCGGGGAGAGAGAGAATCAATTAGAAGATTAGAATCTTCTAATCGTGTGCTTGGTCCTTCTGTTACTACTTCCATCCTGAGGCTCCAGGGTGCCCCATGAATCATCTGAGTAGTGCACAGAAGTCAGTAGATCCCAAGGATTTCAGGAGCTCTGTGCTGGGAATGTAGGGCGGAGACCAAGTTTTTTTTATGATACCACCTAGGCATAATTATCTTGCTCTTTTAGCAAAGGGGACACTGAGGCTCAGCTAACTTAAGCGACCTGACCCCAGGTTGCCCAGTCTGTATGTGGCAGGGTTTGCCCTGGACTCTCACGTCCTCCTTCAAGGTCTGTGCTGTTAAACAGAGCATGGCACTGCTTCCTGCTGAGACCTCCTTCCTCCTCTGTTGCATAAACACTGTGAGGCAGACCCTGGGGAATGGCTAGCAGGGGGTTAGGTGATGCTTACGTTTGTTTTCATTTGCTTCTAGGTCAAGAACTTCACAGATGTCCACCCTGACTATGGGGCCTGCATCCAGGCTCTTTTGGACAAATACAACACTGAGAAGCCTAAGGTGAGGCTGGAGCAGCTGGGCTGTGACGCAGGATGTGTGTGCTGGATGAGACGAGACAGTTTGGTTTCTGCTTAGCATTATTCTCTTCAGGGACCATTACCTATAAGTAACAAATTCCTGAAGCGCTTATTTAGAAACTCCATTGAGATATAAAGAACCCACTTGCAAAACACACTTTCTGTTTTTGAATTTTACTTTTATTAGTACGTGCTGCAGTACATCATGATCGCATTTACTGTGAGGCCTTGGTCCACATACCTGACACATCCCTTTTGGCCCTTACCCCTCCACTCTAAACAGGATAGAACAGTTCCAAGTGGGTGAACTCTGAATTATTATTTCCACTTGGGTACAAATGAAAGTGAAGACAAAGACTACATTTCCGCTGCCTATGGGTTCATTAAATTGCTGGTCTTGTTCTTTTGAAACAGAACACAATTCACACCTTTGTGCAGGCCGGATCTCACTTGGCTGCAAAGGAGAAAGCTAACCTGTGAGGCTCCTTCGGCAGGAAGCTCTGCACCTGCTACCCAGAGCATCGCGCTCGCACCGTAACCTACTTATCGCTCAATGGAAGATTCTCCTGCGCCATGTGCACAAATGCAAGCTGATGTCTTTGAAATGATAATCCAGGTATCTTTAGCAAATCATGCAGCAATGGCTTTCAGTGCTGTTTCCCTACGGGGAAATAAAGCTTAGGGCTTACCAATCACTAAACAGAAACATGTGTTCGCATTTGACAGTTGGTTGGATTATTCATTTAAAAATGACTAGAAGTTTCTAGCCAGAAACATGATTTTTTTTGTAAGACAAAAATCTTGCTGAAATTAGTTGTTTATATATCACCATATCTCATGGCCTATTATATAAAAATATGGCTATAATTATACAATAAGAAAAGACAAAGATGTTCCACTCAGAGAATTTTATTTTTCTAAGGTCCTTATAGGAAACGCACACTTAATGAATTGATGTCTTCAGGAAATAACTTTAGCAGTTAATGTTTATTCCTGTTTGTAATTGATCAGATTCACTTTGTTTTTCCATTTGAAATTACATTTATGCTAATATTGCTTTGATTTTATAGCAGGTTGACTTGTAATTGCATACATTTTTATAATAAAATAATATGTATGTAAGAATAGAAAAACAATGGTGTTTTTTTTCTTTTGACTCCATATATAACTTGAAGAATACCAGTAGATAATTTGAAAATTCTCTTTCTTGAGATGTTTACCCTTAAACATGGAAGTACCAGGATGGTGAGGGTATTACATTATTTGTTTAAATCGGTAGTCTTCGAACAACCTTGTGGGTCACTGGGAAAATAACTGATGTCCTACCTCTGAAAATTACTTAGATCTCGTGTCCATAAGTGCACTTATTTATGAATTTTTAAAACAAGGACTCAGAACTACTAGTTATTATTTTTCTTGGCGTTTAAACTCATATTTGCTTAAAAATCACAAGTGAGACTTTAAGGGTGAATTCTCAATATGAAGGGAAAAATATTTGTTCTTTTCATCTTAAAAACCAGTTTGTACTGATTTTCATGAATTTTCTGAGATGCAGGCTTCAAAAAAACCAGTAGTCCAGTAGCAGATGGATGTAAATGCTCATTCTTTTAGCTTCCAACTTCTTCACTCTCTTTCAAACTCTTCTGCCTCAGTTTCTCAAGTAGCTATGAAACTGTTCTTTGTGTAGACATAGACAGTAAATCTACGGGTACCCAAGGGTAAATCCTATCAATACAGTGACTTTACTCTACTTGTCTCTTTATAGTAATAGCTCTATAAGATAAAATCATAAGAACTAATATAATAAAATAGGGAGATTGTTTGAATATTGGTTATACACGTAAAGACAGAATTTTTGAGATCAATTTCTGCTTTATTCTGTTTTGTAGTCTAAAAATAAGTTGGTAGCTAAAATCACATGTATCTAACCTGCTCCCTGGGAGGAAATATCTGACAGTTGAAAGTGTCCTCAGTTCTGCTCAGGAGAACTCATTGTGATTTTCAAAGATAAGCACTAATGAGTTTTAACTTCCGTCAGTTAGGCTTCATTTCCTGTCCAGTTATGTTCCTCTTAAGTGAGCTATATCCATTGAGCTATATCCTAAGAGCTTCTGAGCCCAATTTACAAGAAGAATGAAATAACAGGCAGTGTATTCTAGTGACGTGGACCCAGAAAGACCTTGATGTGTTATTTCCTACCCTTGGGGACTTGAGAAAACCGCTTCACTCCTCTCAGTATTCGTTCCTTCTTCGCTAAATGGGCCCAGTGATTGTTCTTCTCTCCCTACAGTTGTGTGATGGTTATTCACCATATTTAACTTTGACCATATTTTTTGCGGCTCAGTCCTCCCAGTGCTGTACCTGGTCAGCTTTTGCTTGATAACAGACTACTTCGAACCTCAGTGGTTTAAAACAGCAGTCACGTATCATCCTGCATCGAAGTCCGCTGGGGGTTGGCTAGGCTGATCTGGGCTGGGGTCAGCTGGGTGTGTTGGCTGGGACAGCTCCTGTCACATGTCTCTCTCCTGGGGCCCACAGTGATGGTAGAGGTGTGGGAATGCAGTCCCAGTTGTACAAGTGCTTGTTAAACCTTTGTTCTTGTCACATGCACTCATAGTTCAGCGGCCAAAGCAAGCCTTGTGGGTAAGCCCAAAGGTAAAGGCTGAGAAAGTGCCAACTACCCATGGAGGTGATGTGTATGTGTGATTGAAATATATGGTGAATGTTTTAAAGAAGGTATTACAGTAAAAGATATTGCTGTTGATCCCCCTTGCTTTGAACACACGTATCCCGTTGTTCTTGCCACTTTCCGAAGCACTTCTGAAGTCCTCTTTTCTGAGTGTATTTAATTGATCTGTTGTCCCTGCTTTAGTGTCCTGAGTTGATTCAAAATCTTTACCTTTCACGGTAATTTTGGCTTTGGGGAAGAGCTGGAAGTCATACAGTGTCAGATCCAGTAAATAAGGAGGATGAGGACACACCATGATTAAGCCTGCCTTTCCATTAGCCGGCCCTTGGCAGCAGCGTGTTTGATTGCACATTGTCAAGATGCTCAGGAAAGAGGACCTCCGGAACTGCTTCAGAAAGTAAAGACTATGGGATAAGTGTGTTCGAAGTGGCGGTGGGACTGCGGTGGGGTAGGGTGTCTTTTATATAATACATTTTTAAAAATTTAAACATCCACAGTATTTTTTTTGGTTAGCTTTTGCATCCAAATGATTATCTACCATAGTTTTTCCCTCCCTTTAGTGGACCTTCACTCCAGTGACCCAGGCACTTTTTCACTGTTCATCACTCTCTTCATGCCTTGTTTGCCATTTTACTCTGTGCTTATTTTAGTTTTTGGTGTTTTTTTGGGGGGGGTACCAGGGATTGAACTTGGGACCCTGTGCTGGAACCACTGAGCTAAATCCCCAGCCCTTTGTGCTTATTTTATATAATTCAGACCCAGCCCTCCACACATGCACTGATCTTACCCTTCCTGCCCTCTTTTACGTTATCAGTTCTTCCTTCTCTTCTGCATCCTGCTTCTCAGCATGCAAAGCTGCTGTGATGGTTTAGATCTAACGTGCTCTGAGAGCCTCACCTGCTCACGGGCAGGGCCTTTGGAAGGTGACTGGATCTCAGTGCTGCTCCAGCTGACTCGCTGCTCCAAGGTGGGGCCTGGCAGCTCACTGGGGCGAGATCTGGAGGGTGCATCTCCCTGCCTGGCTCCTCTTTTCTCTCTCTGTTTCCCGGCACCATGATGTGAGCGGTTTTCCTCCACCCAGGCCCTTCCACCATGCCCTTCCTTTCTTGGATCTAGCCATTCATGGACTGAAACCATGAGCCAAAATAAAATTCTCCTCCATTAAGCCACAGGTGTTGGGCATTCTGTCCCATCCACAAGGAAAGTGACTAAGACAACTAGTTTCTGGCTTTTTTTGTGGCATTAATTGCCTGGGGCTGGGTTGAAGCTATGCCTTTGGGAGCATTTGGCCAATTCCTACTGCCTTCTTGACCTGAGGTTGTCAGTTGCCATTCAGTTTTGTTCTTGCACTATTGTATTTTGATTTTGGTTTTGGTTTTTAATGCAATCCAGAATGATTTATATTTTGAATTTCTACCCCTTCCCTGGTCATCTGAAAAGAAAAAAAAAAAAAAAGTACCATGTTTAAAGGACTGGATCAAAGCTCATGGTCAGGTTGAAAAAGAGATTGTTCAGGAAGTCAACAAGGCTAGCCAGTGGGGAATTTGAAGTGTTCAGGCAAAGAGCTTGGCAGTGAAGGGACAGCAAGACCAAGAGGCTCAGGGGACTGGCCGGCAGAACAGGCCAAATTGGGTGGAGCATGGAGCAACACACCGCTAAGAGGTGCTGCTGCCCTCCCTCCTCCCCGGCGCTGAAGCCATCCACAAAACAAAAATGAACTCTTCTGTTGCTTAAAAGAGTTTTCATTTTGTAAAAACCTCCAAACCAAAACCTCTCTGCATTCACCTCCCCTGGATACCCATGACACATGACCAAATGTGGGGGCTTACAGCCACAGAAATTATTCTCTCCCAGTTCTGGAAGCTTAAGTCTGAAATCAGGCATTGCCCGAGCCGCGCTCCCCGCTAGGCTGTAGGGGAGGAATCCTTCGCTGTCCCTCCCAGCTCTTCGTGGCTCCACAGCTTGCTCCTCCTCCTCCCTTTCAGCCTCTTAGAAGGACAGTTAGCACTGGATTTAGAGCCCACCTGGATAATCAAGATAACCATATCTTGAGACCCTTAACTTCATGACATCTGCAAAATCTCTTTTTATAAATAAGCTCACACTGGCAAGTCCCAGGAATTGGGACATGGATATCTTTTGAGGAAGGACCATTCAACCTGCTGTCCTCTTTAAGGTAAGCATTCCACTTAAGCCTATAGCTCCATAATTCATTATAGAACAGAAAACACAAGAGATTATTTTAACGTACTGCACATTAAGCAAACAATATCAAAGCAAAATGGCCAAAACCAAAAACGATACATAATATGAGATTCCCTTATCAAATAGTCAAATAAGAGACTAAGTATTTCCTTTAAAAAGGATCTGCAATAGTAGGGCACGTGGTGCACTCTGCGAGGCTGAGACAGGAGGATCACAAGCTTGAGCCTAGCCTGGGCAACTTGGTGGCTTAGCAAGACCCTGTCTCAATTTTTAAAAAGTAAAAATGGTTGGGGATGTGAGGGCCTTTGGTTCAATTCCCAGTAACCAGAAAACAAAAACAAAAACAAAAACTGCAGTAGATCTTTCCGTGGAATATTTGCAGCTTGTTAATACGTACAGAGGTGCCTCGGTTCACAAACTTAATTTGTTCCACGATTCTGGAAAAGATGGCCGTGTTCATGCTCGTGTGGGAAAGACAGCCATGGCTGTGTCCATCGCCCAATGTACGGTTCGCAAACAAAAAGTTTTGCCAAACGCTTCTGTTTGCGAACCAAATTGTTCAAAAACAAAAGCATCCGTGAACCGAGGCACCACTGTACTTATTTGAAAATTTCAAAATTATTTAAAACTGTTACTAACTTCACATCTCTCCCTGCTCTGCAAAGGATTTAAAAGCCCTCCTCTTTGGCTTCTCAGGTAGTTTACCATGGGATTTGGCTCTCTGCCCTTTGGTTTTACAAGAAGCAAAGAAGTGGGCCAGCTAGCTTATCTGTGGCTTTTGTCAAAGAAAAGCCAGTCCTAAAGGTTCTGAAAGTTCATTTCCTTAGCACAGTTCTCTTCGTCAGAAGAGTAAAGATGAATGTGTTTTTGTTGTATTGTTTTTGCAGTGCTGGGGATTAAATCCAGGGCCACGAGAGTAACAGACAAATACCTTCCACTGAGCTATACACCTAGGCTCCAATCAACCCAGGAATGGGTGTTTAAAGTAAAATTCTATTTTTTTTTTTTTTTGGTACCAGGGATCGAACTCTGGTCCTTGCGCTTGTGAGGCAGGCGGTGGAACCACTGAGCTAAATCTCCAGCCCTAAAATTCTAATGTTTACTTTGTAGAAGCTGCTCACTGCCTGGCAGCCTGGAAGCAGAGCAAGGAAAAGTGTCAGGAAGTGGCCAAGTACACAATGCCACGCCTCCGAGAGCACCGGGACACGTGCAGAAGTGTGCCTCACTAGTCTGCCAGGTGTTTCTCAATCCAATCTGCTTGACAAGCCGTGACCAATGGTCACACTTGCTAAGTTGCCCAGGCCAGGATTGAACTTGCAATCTTCCTGCCTCATCCTCCCATGCCTGGCTTCCAATGTCTAGTTTCTAAAAAAAATAGGTCATGGATGTTTTTCTAGGTTGTGATTGCTTTGCCAAGCCTATCATACTGAACTGAGAAATACAGAGACAGGTATGTTAAATAATTTATTCACATTGTTTACAAACTCTAAACACCTGGAAAACACATGAGTCCAAAAATAGATTATTTTACAGTAATTCACATTTTCTTTTTTTAAAAAAACCAGGTCTGCAGCCTGTATTGTGGTTCAGTGCCTCAGCGCTTGACGGTCAGCTCCAGTGAAGTCTGAGGCTCAGGGCCAGGCCACCTAGTTGTAGGTCACTATGACTTACATGCCAGTGAAAGGTACGTTGCTATTTTTGTCAAGGAAATGTGTTTTAGAACTTGAGTACTCATCAGGTAAGAAGACAAACCAAAAGAAACTCACAGGTCACTGGGACATATCCAGTTCTATAAAGGTTTAATGTCTTGACTTCAGACAGAATCAACAAATTATGATTTTATCCTGTTGACGGCTGGAATCACAGAGACAGCAGAGATTTGAAAATTGTTGTGCATGTCTGTTGGCTAGCTCTTTGCATATCTGATGGTAGCCATCCATTAGGAGAGGAGAGGAAACAGTCTTAGTGGCAGTTAATAATATGGTTAATTTTAAGTGTGTGACTCCAAAAGGGAGTTTTGCTGAGTGGTCAAAAAGATGTTGTGGTTAAGAAACCTACTATTAACCTACGCTGAATCCAATTATGTCCCAGCTTAATGGCTGACCTTTTTTTAAAAGAAACTTTTTCTATGGGATTTGACTTTAATCATTTAAAATCTAAAGAATGTATGACTTACATCTTACTCTCTCCTACTATAAATTACACACTAATCATGATTTTTTCTTGTGAGCTGCCACAGTTAACCACGTTGACCATGTTGGAAGCTTGGGAATAGGAGTATCGGATGACAGAATTAGGTCTTTCTTTTTTTTTTTTTTGGTACCGGGGATCGAACTCGGGTCCTTGTGCTTGCGCAGCAGTGGGCAAAACCACTGAGCTAAATTCCCAGCCCAGAATTAGGTCTTTTCTTGGAGCAGCACCAATGACATTGGCTATTGTGGCTCTGCAACTTTTGATTAGGGAAATAATATTAGATCAACAAACCATAAAAGACTATCCCTTCCTCCCCTTGGGGAGAGGGAGATTTCTGAAGGGCTGTAGCCGTCACCCCAAGTAGACAACAACTGAGTCCAAATGTAAGCTGAGATGAAGAGAAATTTTATCAGCACATTTGTAGGTTTAAAATAAAGACTTTCAAATGTCTGTCACAATCTGATTGTTTTCAAAGGCAGAAATCCATAAAATGAACTTGATGCTTGGAACAGATCATAGCTTGTCTTCCTGCCAGCCATGTGCATTTTTTCCAAACTTGTACACTAACCGTCGGTCAACCCGCTCCAAAATTCCTGTTTTATAGTAATATCTGTGAAAGCAAATAGAAGAGAAGTTCGGGGAGGGTTTGTACCCCGGGAAAACAACAGAACGTAAATACTCTGCTCATTCTTCTCAGGTGATGAGGCTGGTCTTGGGTTACTGTGGTATTTTCACACCTCCTTATCAACTTACACTTAAAGCCTTTCCCAGACATCTTGAAGATTGAACCTCACCATAATTGGTTCAAAATGGTGTGTGTGTGTGTGTGTGTGTGAGAGAGAGAGAGAGCACTTGGATTCAGATTGATTTCTGGGGAATAGTGCCAAGCGTGGAAAGTATGCAGTGTTAGTTTACAAGCCATAATCCTGGCTGTAACTAAGAACCCATGTTTTGTCTCATGATCTTTCCATTATCAAGTAAAAAGCTGCAAACACAGTGTAATGCTCTATGGCTGCCCATTTTATATAACTTCTCTTTGAAGGCTTGGGGTATTTTATGCTATTAACTTACCTCAGAGCTCTACTCAACTTCTCATAGGTCATCCTGTCGTTTTTCTTCCTTTGTCCCCACATCTTTGCCAGGGCTTCTGATTTAACCACCCGAAAAATACCTTGTTCCCTGTCTTCCCATTCCAGAATGCCACAGTTTTCTTCAGGAGATAGAAGCAAGTCTCGCACAAATTCCCACAGATGAGAACTTTGGAGGCCTTTTGAGAAGGGAAAAAATGTTAGCTACTTAAATTTTAAAAATAGTTCCTTTGTGAAGCTATTTCTTGTCATATGACTGAGTGCTTCTGCTGGGACCCTTACTGACCTGTGAGATGTCTGTCTTCTAATAAAGCAATGGGAAAACATACATTCAGAGACACCAAGTTTTATACTCACTACCAGTGCTATGGCTCATGGGTGCTCTTTGCTTAGTGAACTATGGGCTACTTCTTATGCAGCAAAGGAAACAACTGTCAAATGATCTTTTCATTTTCCTTTCTGATAGGCTGCTGTGAGATCCTGCAGTCCACACCTTCCTGCCTTTGTTCCATTACAGTGTCCTTAAGCCTGGGCGTGGGGGCTGACTGCCTAGCTTTGGGTCCTGAATTTGCTTCTTCCTAGCTCTGTAACTGTAATCTCCCTAGTTACCTTTTCTGTGAAATGGGATAAGAAGAGAACCCATGTCATAGGATAGGGTGGAGAGTTTAATGATTTAATACGTATCATATGGTTATAAACATCCCTAGTATGTAATGATGATTTTCAACTCCTATTTTTTTTTTTGGTACCGGGGATCCACCCCTATATTTGTGAAACAGTAGTTTGATTTTGCACTGGGCAGAGCTGAGTGCTGGGAAAGGCTCATAGAATTGTCAACACCTGGGATTTTCTTTGCTATTCTCCTCTGAGTACTTCAATGAGAAAGACCCATGGCAGACTAGGAGAAATAAAACTTTCATTCAGAAATACAAAATGCTTAGACTATTTCTTTACTTCCCCACTTTAATTCTTAAAATATCATGTCCAGGTAAAAAGAAATAAACCTGACTTTGGTAACTTGTCCGGAAGTGATCATAATTTCTCTACTACCTTCCTTGGGAATCGCTGGCTGTACACATTTAGTTTCAAAGCTTCCTGGAGTCATCTGGCTTGTCTCAGGAATGGTTTTAAGCAGTTAGAAATGAAAAGTGGCACTTACTTGTCCGACCACTACTCTGGCTATCTTGACTTTTGATGCCACTGGCTTTCAAGCAGTTGGAATCAGCATCTGAAACAGAAGGACTCACAGCAGTGGAAAGGATCGCAGCACCTGAATGAGCAGATGCTCACTGACTGCTTTTGTGGTAGAAGACACAGTGCTGGGCACTTTGTGGGTCCTTAGTGGATGAATGGGACAGAGAGGCTGAAGATTCTGCCTTTGGAGAAAGTTGATGCTCAATGCTGGGACCTATCACTGTCTGGGTGCTGGGATACAAGCGTGATCACAACAGGCACGGCCCCTGCTCAAGTGGAACCAAAGGAATGACAGGCAGGAAAAACAAAGAAAGCAGGCAGACTGCCCTGAGCTTTAGATGTTGTGAAGGAGCCTGAACCAGCGTGTGTAGGAAGCATGGTGTACTGAAGAGGAGACACTGCACTGAGAGATAAAGATGAGCACATTGAGGAGGTGAGCAGAGGGTCCCAAGCAGAAGGAGCAGCATGTGCAGAGCCAGGTGTGGAGAGAGTACCCGTGAGGCAGGTGCACCACGTGCTGGGAGAGCTGGAGGTGAAACCCTGGGGAGGCAGGTGGCTGGCTGGCCATGTGGGGACGTCCTCAGAGACCATGGGGAAGACTTTGGATTTTATATTAAAGTGTAAAGCAAAGATGCACATTTTAAGATCTCTCAGGCTACTGTGGGGAGAACAGATTGGAAAAGACACAAGTAAAAGTAAAGACGAGAAGGGCTGGGGATTTAGCTCAGTGGCACCGCGCCTGCCTTGCAAGTGCAAGGTCCTGAGTTCAACCCCCATTACCAAAAAGAGAAAAAGTAAAGACTAGAAGCTTATAAAGGATAGAAAGGAAGTCGTCAACTCAGGGTTGAGTTAAATTACATAGCTCATGTTGTGACAGTCTAACACAGCACTGCCCCAAAATAGCATATTATTTTTTTAAACAGGAGTACTGGATCTGCCCTGTCTTGTCCCACATTAAATCTCTCCCTGTTCCCTTCTCCTCTCACTTTGCTCCAGACTCCCTGGTCTCTGACTTTTTTCCATTAAGTTTATTGCTACATTTTAGGTCTACAATTCAGTTACATTCATCATTGGGAGCTTGCACCTTTACATGATGTATCTTGGTTCTTATTTTTTCCCCATTCCCCTGCCCTCCCTTCAACCCCTCCACCCCTCCCTACAAAGACTTTGCTTCCATTTTTTCTGTTTCTCATATTTTTTCCTTTCCCTTCATTCCTTTCCTTTACCCCTCCCACTTCCCCTACCCCTTTAGACCTTTTCTTCCTATTTCACATTATCAATTATACATTTTTTTTTTTTTGCAGTACTGGGATCAAATTCAGGACCTTGTGCTTACAAGGCAGGTGCCATGCCACTGAGCTAAATCTCCAGCCCCTCAATTATACATTTTGATGGCTTCTGACTCTTTCTCAAGCCTGCAAGCACATTCCACCTCAGGGCCTTTGCACTTGCTCTTCCCTTTGTCCAGAATGCTATTTCCTCATATATCTATGAGTTCAGAACCTCATCTCACACTTGGCTCAAAATCCCCTTCCCGTGGAGGCATTTTCTGACTACCCAAGTTGCCAGCACACATACATACTCAGATATCCACCATATCCATATCCACCTCCCTTACTTCCTTTATCACCTTGAGCATTCATGCTCTGATGCCTTTATTTCTATAGTCCACGGTTGCCAGTGTTCAACAGAGGGCAGGATGGTGCTTCCAGAGTATCCCCCAGCACCTAGCATGGCACTAGGTGTGGAGTAGGTGCCCATAAGTGTCGCTGACCAGCCGCTAACCATATCTGCTGTGTAGTCCAGGACATACACTACACCAAATGAAGGAATCTATGCACTGTCAAGGGAGGGGCTAGTGTCCTGTGCACCCTATGGCCAGGGTGACTTGTCTTAGTGCCACTGTGTCATGTCACTCCCTGCTGAATATCCTGCAGAGGCTCCCTGTTGTCTCCAGGATGAAAGCTGTCTTGTTCATTATGCCTTTCACCAACTGGATTTCACCCACATCTCCAACCATATGTCTTTCTGCTCCCTGACTTTGTCCCTTCTCTTGAGTCAGATGGCCCCAGAGGGGTGTGGCTTTCTCCTGCCTCAGGACCTTTGCACAGGCTTCCCACCCTCCACTTCTATACAAGAGCTCTTCAGGAAGCCTTTCCTGAACTCATCCTTTGGGTTAATCCCTTCTGAGCCCCACAGCACCTGTGTGTCCTTTGGTATCAAAGCGTCAGTTCTACCCTTAGAGGCCGTGGTGAAGCCTTGGGATTTTATACCAAGGCGTAAAGCAAAGATCCACATTTTAACATGATCCCCCTGGCTACTGTATGGAGAACAGATTGGAAGGGATAGAAGTGGAAGTAAAGATGACCCAAGTAAAGTAAAGATCTATCTTGTCTCTTTATCCCTTCTATTAACAGCTGAGATTTATGGGGTGTTTACTAAAGGCTAAGGGCTTGTTAAAAGTTTCACACACATCATCTCCTTTACTCCTGCAACTGCCCTGTGTGACACTATTGAGATTTCATTTTATTTGGGAGGAATCTGAAGCCCAGAGTTTAAAAACTTTACCCAGATGGGGAACCCAGGACCTGAGAGTTCCCATTCCAAACCCCATGCTCACAGCTTCTACTTTATGGTGTTTTTCATAGTAAGTGGTCCAGTATGTATTGAATGAACACTAGTTAGCAAAGATCTCGGCTAAACATGGCCATCCACTGATTTCAGCCACCCTGTGAGGTGTGTCTATCCCCAGTTTCAGACCTCGCCATTGTTTTAATTTAATAAGGAAGAGGGAAAACAAAAGGAGCCATCAAGATAAACAAAGCTGAATTATTGTTTGTGAATAGACAGTAAGCTTTCTTTGAAATGCTAAAGTGGCAAGAAGAGGGAGGGAAAAGTCACTCTTCTAGTTTTCATGATTTGCCCTGTGTTTTGGATAAAAGAGTTTCCCTGGGGAGGTTAGATGGGGGTTGTAGGAGCTATGGGGATGGTTTTCCGGCCCGGATCTTTGTTTTCTGTTCCCATGGTGACTTTGAAGGTACTCATGGGGTGACTAGATTCAAGGCCTTTCTTGGCTGGTGGTGGGGACAGAGTATGGTCAGAGGGACCAAAGTCACCACTGTGTTAATGTCAAGGCAGGCTCCCAATCAAGGCCTTCACCATGCTCAGCCGGTGGGTTTTTCGCAGCCCCAGAACCCAGTTGATTCCCCTGCAGATGCCAGCTGTGTTTCTGGCTCTCCCTATCTCAGTCTTCATCTCAAACATGTCCCTGCAGCTGGGCTGTGCCTGGTGTGGGGTGAATGGAGGCCTGGCCTGGCCTTCTGCTGTCTGTGAGATGTGGACAGGTTTCACTGGCCTTGAGACTGGAAACTTAATTGTGGCCAAAGGCCTTATTCTCATTTGCGGATTGAAATCATAGTCCAGTATGCTCCAGAAGCTGGGATGTGGGCCTGCGGGCAGGGTTTCCAAGTCAAACTTAGCACATCCCATGGCACTCACGGTCCAGCATAAGGCCCGCACCCCATGCCAGGATGGTGTGGGGATGCTCTGAGGCTCCATAGCGTGAGGTGCCAGCAGCCAACCCAGGACTGCAGGCTTTATCCCTGGCATTGCTGCTGTGGGACAGGGTTGGGTTGCTTCACTTTGGCCAGTTCCGAAGGTTTCGTAGTTTGCTGGGCCTTGGCACCTTCAGTGGGCACTAGGTTGAAAATCATCCCATTGAATCATTAACTGGGCCCAGACCTCCTGGACAGAGTGAATTGAAGGGCCTAGGAGTGTGTGTGCATGTGTGTGCATATGTGTGTGTATGGACATGTAGCTCAATGGATAAGAGCAGAGGCATTGAGAAGACATGTTGGAATCCCAGCTCTACATGTGCTTACAAGTCACCACAGCCCTGGTTTCCTGAGATACAAATGGAGGTAACTATGCTACCTGTTGGGGTTAGGATGAGTATTAAATGAGTTAAAGTGTGTAGGATGTTTAGTATAACTCCACATCTGGCAGGTTGTAAGTGCTTAATAAATAGTAATGAAGCTGGGTATGGTGGGGCATGTCTATAATCCCAGCTATTTAGGAGGCTGAGGCAGGAAGATTACAAGGTTGAGTCTAGCTTAGGCAACTTAGCAAGACCCTGTCTCAAAATAAAAAGGGATTAGGGCCGGGGATTTAGCTCAGTGGTTCCGCCACCTGCTGTGCAAGTGCAAGGACCTGAGTTCGATCCCTGGTATCAAAAAAATAAATAAATAAAAATAAAAAAAGAAAAAGGGATAAAAGGGATGAGGACATAGCTCAAGGGTGGAGCAAATGCCTGGCATGCATGAGGTCCTAGGTTCAATCCCCAGTACTGTACTATAAAAGTGTAACAAGAACTATTAATTTTTACTGAAGACCCCAGTGGAACGTTTCCAGAAGTCCCAGATGCCACCTTATCCTCCTTGGTCAGGGCTTAGCCTCTGGTTGAAAGGCACCCCCTCATTTCTGAGTCAGAGATATCTGAGGACATGAAACACCACCTGGAGCATAGGTTTTGTGGCTCTATGTCCTGGCTTTTCTAGAATAGGATCACTGTATACAGGACCAAACTATTGGCCTCATACCTATCCTTGTGCCATCAAACTACACATTAGGATTTCTGTTTTGGCAAAGCATGATCATCAGGGCTGTGGCTGAGCCACTGACTGGCCTCCCCAGGGGCTGTGAAGCTGGAGTTTAGGCGGGCTTACCAGACACCTTAACTGTGAGTTCATCCTAGAAGTTGTGCCTCTCATGATTGCAGCAGCCATTGGTAGAGGGTTTGTCTTCAGATGTGTATTGTTAAGAGATGTGGACCTGGAGCCCTTGTCCCACCACTTCCACCTCCAGGGACTTCTTTCCATCTCTTCCCCATCGCTGCCCTGGGCCTCCATCTCACCACCCTGGGCTCTGGCTAACTCCTTCTAGCCCACACACAGCAGCCCAAGAGTTACTAAGATGTAGATGGGGTCTGACCCTTTCCATGCTCATAACTCTTTGGCAGCGTACCAGCCTGCTCATCATAAAACCCCAAATCCACAAACCCTAAACCCACCCCATCCTGTTCTCTGTCTGCTGATTTCACTGATACTCTCCCAACACTGTCCCAGATGTCCATGGATTCCTGGTATGGTGAAATCTGGACAGTTGAGTCATCCGATATGGTAGCCGCTAGCCACCTGCAGCTACTGAGCACTTAAGATCCAATCAGTCCTACCAAGGAGCTTAATTTTAATATTGTTTAATTTTAACTCAAATGGCCACATGTGGCTAGGGGTGGCTGTACTGGACAACTAATGCTGGACCCTTTGGCCTTCTTAGGTTCTTTTTTAAGGACCGAGATTGTTCATGGGTCAGAGCCTCTGTACTTGCCATTCTCTCGGTCACCTCTTCTTCCCTTTTTCCCATATGGTGCATGGATCTGGCTATTTTTGTGCCAAATCTCCAAAACCAAAACCCCACAACTTTTGTTAATCTGGACTCAATCCTTAGTTGATTCCTTTGGGCTTTAGGGAGAGGAGAAATAAATCAACAGGAATGGTCCCTCTGTGTCTACCCCACTGGCTGACACCACTCAGGGGCCTTAGGAATCATCACGAGTTCTACCTTTTCTTTACAAATGAATGAGCTGGAAGTGAAGCCCATGGTGGGAAGGGGGCTGCCTAGGACCACATTTCCTCTTGGCTGCTGGGTGAGGGCCTTTGGGAGGAACTTACTAGTTAATAGTGACAATAATCCTCATCTTTAAAAAAATGGAAGCCTAAAATTCCCTTTCCTAAACCTTCTCCATCTGCAAAGTGAGATAGGATCAACAAGGCCATCTGAGATCTTCCATTGTCTTATAATTATAAACTTGACCTACCTAGTGCACTCAGATTGTTCTTACAGGCTCTCAGCCACAAGACCTCTAACGATGAGTAATTACTAGTATCATGGCTAACAGGTACCAGTTTTAGGGGCCCTCACACCTTGTCACCTACCAGGCACTTTGTGGCATTATTTCTTGAACTCACCATGGCCCAGAAGGGTCCCACCATTCTATAGACAGGGAGATGGGAGGGCAGGTACTTCAGGACCCAAGATGTGGTCCCACAGAACACACTCGAACTCTTTCCACCACATTTCTCCCTACTACCTCTCCATGTCTTGGCTTGTTTCAGTTCATTAACGTGCGGTGTGGTGGTCAACACAGGACTAAGCCTGTGTGCCCAACAATAGCCTCAGCTCAGGCTTGTGCAGCTTGAGCTTGATTACTTACAGTCTTTGATGGTGGCCTTGGTATCCTCGGTGTCATTGAAAAAGGAGTAACCTGGGAAAGAGAAAGAAATCTGCAAACCATATCATGCAGTGCTGGCCATGCCAGGAAAGGAGGTGTGGGAGCACAGGAGGGCAAATGTTCCCTAGGAACGGTGGTTTTATTTTAGAAGGAAACTTAGAGACTATCTGGCCTTTACAGAGCCACCCTAAAGCCACCCTGCAAAGTGACAGTCTCCTTGTTCTTAAAGGTCACTTGGAAAAAGTAGTGGAGCCAAATGCCCAGCAGCTGTGTGGATCTTCTCATGGGCACCGGGGACTGAGCCTGGCTGGGTGCCCAAAGGGCTGGGCACTGAGCTGGGCCAGACCACTGATCTGTGTGACCTTTGCCAGCCACTTGATCTCTGAACTCACTGGTTGCTCTCAGTGGCAACGTGAGGCAAAACTCCCACTCAACTGCCTTCCAGCTTAGACTCTGTGATCTCTGACCATGGGATTCTAATCTCCTGAGATTAGAATCTCTGCTATGTGCTGGTCAAAGGGAAGAATGGGCAGAAGAGGCTGAAGAAGCACAAAACCCTACATGAATGCCAAGTTTACTGAGGGGTTGGAAGACTATGGCCTTGGTTCCTTGCTCTGTAGAAGGCGGTGAGCTTGCCTTGGATTAGGAGTTTCAGATCATGTTTTCAAGTAGCAAGATAGCCCAAAGGCCACCTGCTTCCTAACTTGGTGTCCAACGTGAGAACTAACTTGTATTTATCAAGGAGATGGGAATAGGGCACGTTTGTGATTGCTTATTCCTGGTGCCATGTTCTCCTTGGCTTTTGTTGCATGACACCTCAGGTGACTCTGCCCAAAGAGCTGAGTAGAACAGGGTGTGGGACAAATGAGGGACTCATTCCTCTCTGGTGTGTGGAAGCCACCCTCTGCTCTCATCCTTTCCCCTAACCTCTCCTTCCAGGGACGGGGCCCTTAGATCCTACTGCAATACTTCCTGAGCCAGGTGGTTCTCTGGGCCCTAGAGTCCCTCTAGTTCCTGTGGTGGTCAGACTCCCTTGGTCTGCCCTATTCTGCTAGTGCTCCAACCTATGGGATAATATAAGGCATAAACTAAATGATTATTTATATTGTAATTTAGTGTCCAAATGGAAACACTTTTGAGAATGAAAGGCAACACTACTAATAATTATTCCAGAATGACAGAGGAAAATGTGTTCTGGAGAAATTGGGACAGTGTGAACTTTGGTCCAACACACACGTACACAGATCGGCTTGGGGAACGTAAAGGGGGAATTTCAGAACAGAACAGGTTGGGAACAGATACTTGTACAGCTCAACATGAAGCTTCCCTTGCCTAGAGAGAGTCCCAAGTGCCACCATTGGAGGTGGCACCTGTGTGACTTCAGGGAATCCCAAGAAAAAGAAGAGCCAACTATGGGCTATTAGAAGAGTCAATTTTTAGCTTATTCATTTTGCATAGAGTCCCTGAGCTAATGGGCCCAGGGACAGGTATTTTCCGACATGACAGTTGCCAGGGCAAGGAGGTGCCCTGCTGGGCCACTGCAACACAGGGGCAGCTTGGTGCCTGGAGACCAACTGAGTTGACTTGACACTGCCAGGCTGGCAAAGCCAAGCTGCAGACTCTTCCAGGACGGGTCGTGTCCCTCTCCACAGCCCTGGGATTCTGTCCAAACCTAAATCCCTGCTACAGCCTGCCCTTCAAGCAGGGACTACTGATTGCTTGGTTATCTCCACTGCCAGTGAGTATCCTATGTTTTGTATCTTCTGAAACAGTCTTTCCAAAAGCAGGCACCAACTTTTAGATAGATCTTTCTTAAAACTGAGCTGAAGGGTTGGGGATTTAGCTCAGCGGTTCCGGTGCCTGTCTCTCAAGCGCAAGGTCCCGAGTTGGATCCCCGGTACCAAAAAAAAAAAAAAAAAAAGCAAACCCACAAAAAACCTGAGGTGAGATGTATAGTGTATTTCCTTTAGTTTTAAAAATTTCTGCCTCTTGTCTATATTAAAGATGACGGAAACAGCTGCCATTTACTGCAGTGATGTCCTTAACTGCCGTGCCAGCGAATATTTTCGCTAAATCCTCTCGTAGGCCCGTGGAGGCGTCCCACACCCCGTCCCAGGGGCCAGACGAAGCCAGCCCTGGGGATTGTGAGGTGAAGCGTCTTGCCGAGTCCCAGGTGGTGACCAGAGATTGAAAGGGGGTCCTGCCAATCTCCAAGCCCTTGCTTTGTACCCACTATATGTGTACTGTGTAGGCTTGGGAAAGTCACTTCACTTGGGACATGAGTTCCCTTATCCGTGACACTGGGACACTGATACAGTATTCTCAAAAAAATCTTTCTGGTTTGGAAAAAAAAAGTCAACATTTGCTCTCAGGGGGACGCTGAAGAGCCAAATCAAGCTACTGGCGCCACCTGTCGGCCATCTGATCCTTCACCATTTAGGCGTGTGCTAGGAAATGCTAATTACCCGGTCTCCTCTGCATACAGGAAAGGAAATGACTTTCTTAATTCTGCTTAACGACAGGTGAAGCATAAAGCTTTTTAGTCCATCAAAAAGTATTTGTGAACATCTTGCATCATTTTGTTGCTATCAGCCTCGTGCCTCTGCTATGGTTTTAGTTTTTTTTTTTATGCACTCACTTTGCTTTCACCTAACTTACTCTCGTTACCTAAAATCTCCGCACTAGCACACTAGAGCTTCCCGTTGCTGAGAGATTTTGGCTACCAGAGAGCTCCAGTGAACGAAGTCTAGCTGAGCGAGTCACAGGGATCGGAAGGGCCTCTCAGGACTTCCGGTCCCAGGCTCCTCCCCCAGCCCGGCCTCTGCCACTGACCTTGCGTGCGGATGTTCTGCAGGATGAAGTACAGGTACTCGCCGCAGATGCCCGCTGCCTCCACGAACTCCTCCTGGGTCATGCTGCATAGCTGCAGGCCGCTGATGTTGAAATGGCAGAAGGAGATGCAGTTGGCGTCCAGCTTGTATTGATCGCAGCAGAACTGCAGCCACTCCCAGACGTGGCGCTTCGTCCAGTACTCGGGGTGGACTGATGTCCAGTAGGAGTCACAAGCTGCACCCGGGGAGACAGAAGTGAGGATCCATGGTCCCCAAAGCTATCCCCAAAGAGACTCTGGCTATGCTCCAGATGCTCTGTAGGGGTTCAGGCCACTTTCTGTTCTGGAGAGAAGACCAGAGGGAAGGGATCCTGCCGACGGACTTTGGAGAGAGAGAGGGAAGGAGAGGTGGCGAGAAGGAAGCACCTCATTTTGGTGCTTAGAAAGAGGGACTCAGTGGAGAAGAAAAGCAAAAGGCTCTTCAGTTATTTGGTTTCAGACAACATGGCATCAAGAGCACATGTCTAGGAGCCTAATAGGCTTGGGTTCAAACCGTGATTTGACTGTTCTCTACTTGGGCAAAGTCTGTAGATATGCGAGCCTCTGTTTCTTCATCTGTAAAGTGGGGATAATGTGACAGACTCACAGAGCTCTTAGGGGATTTGAGATTACTATACGCAGCCCGGTGCAAAGAAAATTACCAAGTAATTCAATGGTTATTAAATCCCTACTGCGCACTGGACAGAATCAGAGGAATCAGAGGCTGGTCTGATTCTCTGTGCTCTGAACTGGCTTCCTGTTTGTGCACATTCTGTGGCCATCTTGTGCCAGAGCCTTGTGCCAGTTAGATATCGTCCAAGGTCAGATCTTGGACTACCAAGCCGGTGACTCTGGAGGAAGGAGTCACGGAGAGCTGGTTGTGTTGCGTTCTTGAGGTTTTGGTGGTGTTTTGAGGATTTTCTTTAATCTTATGATTTCCATACTACTCATTGATCTATCCGTCCATCCATCCATCCAATCAATAAATGATAACTTCAGTTTCCTCATCATTGAAATGAGGATAATTACAGCACTTATATCACAGGGTTATTCTGCAGATTCAATGAATTATCCTGGAAGATTTTACTGCTATTAACACTAGAGTTGTACACCTCTTAAGTATGACACAACAAACTACATGTCAAAAATTCATGCTGGATAAGACACACACAGTTGGTTCTGTCCCCTAGGAGGCCACTGATGAGGAGGCTCTTGAGGGTCACAGAAGACTTTCCTAAGGTTCCATGGTCAGCATGTGGCAGACCTGAGACATGAATCCCAACCTGGACTCAAACATCACCATTCCTCCCATCCCACCATACTGGCCTCAGAGGGTCAGTGAGGGAAGAGATGGGACATGGGGAGAGAGGCAGACGGAGATCTAGAGAGCATGCGATGGTCTGAGGAAGAGGGTAGAGAGCAGAGAGCGGAGTACGGCTCAGGTGAGCGGGTCTGGTTGTGTGGATGACAGATAGGGCCTCTTTCCAGTTAGACTCCACAACAAAGGGCAGTGGTGCTACTGCCCTCCCTCCTGTAAATGCTACATTCGCTGCCACTGTCCCCAGCAGAGCTGTGGCACTTCTAACCCAGCCAGGAAGTGGGCTCTCTGCCCTGCCAGGAGCTACCACTCTCTAACCCCACTGTGCATCACTGAGGTGCCTCATGTCTTTGTTGACAGCATCTCTAGTCTCTCAAATCCTCCCAACATTTCTGCCAAATCAGAGCTATGCCATGAAGGTGGAAACCAAGGCCTAGGCCCTCCCATACATTTCTTTTCCCCTTGTAGAGTGGGTTGAGGAGCAGTCAAACCTAAACAATACATTTGTTTTAAAATTATAGCTAGAATTGTACATGGGTGTAGATGAAAGAGTCAGTATTCTGCCAGGCTAGAAAAGGCTGATGTTGTAGCCTCTGCCTGATGGATGAGAGAAGCAGGGCCAGTGGGACCCCAGCACTGTTCTTGCTTCTTGGTTGCTGGCTGGAGCCCCTACCAGGCCCACTGTGGGCACCTCACAGCAGACAGGGGCTCCTTCAGAAACAGAGGCCCTTCCTGAGTCCAGTCTGTGTCTTCACCTACTGATTTCTGGCTTGAGTAACCCTAAGGGGCCTTTGGACTTCCCTGGCATTCTGAAGGGAGATGTTTATGAGCCTTGAAATTCTTCAGCTGCTGGTTTTGTGCTGGGCTGGGCCCTGACAGAGATGGCTATCAGTGTTCTGCCAGTGGAGGGCATGGCATGTTTCTCTTCAGGGAAAGCTTTGGCTCTCTGTTCCCTTGCTCTCTCCATTCCTACCCTCTTGTTATTTTCTTTGGCACTTGAAGGGGACTATATTGTTTCTGGAAGCCAAAAGGGCCTTCAGGATTCAGAGAAATGTGAGTGGGGGTAGCACCGACACCTGGAAGGTGTTGCTGGCTTGGCTCCCCATTGCTCTGTGAGGCTGACCACAGAGCAGGCTTTGTGTGCAGCTTGGGCCTGGAGCAGAGCTGGGGCCCAAGCCAAGAGGCCGCTGGCTCTCCTCATCCTCAAAGCCCTTCCCACAGCCCCCAGAGCTGAGGGGAAATGGCTATTCTCAGTGACACAGAGGGAAAGCTTCAGGAGCCAGCATCCATAGGTTGCTTTTTGGTGAGGTGGGCCTGCTGGTCCATCCGCAGGGTTTGGAGGAGGGTCAGGCTGACAGAGGGGAGGAGGCCTCTTCATCCACACTCCCTCCTCATCTCTCCCTGCTCCCCTCTCTCAGGTTGCTCCACAGCTCAGTCTTTTCACAGTGCTTTTTCTCCCTCTGCTGCCTCCTGAATAATTCTTCCCCCTCCCCAACTTCTCCACTCACTTGCCTTCTCAGAGAGTTTTCCCCTCAGGCACCTTCTCAGGAGGCCTGGAAGGATTCATGGTGTCTCCCTCCCCAGACCTCAGGTGCTGCTCACCCTGAACAAGGAGAGCTGAGGGCCTGGCCCAGCCCACTGTGGGTGCTCAGTAGGTGTAACCGAGTCAGGAGTGATTATTATCTCCATTTTACAGGTGAGGAAACTGAAGTTCTGGGAGGTTACACAACCCCTTAAGATCACAGAAGTGGTCAGTAAGGGAGTTTGGCCCACGCCAACTTCTGCCTTTGGACCTGGGCATTTTGCATCATATAGAACCTCACCCTTCTAGGCTGAGGGGGAACAAGTGGGGTACACATCTTGAAGACTGACTGAAATGAAATTTGGATGAAGATATATATAAAACCTAGGTTTGAAAAATCAGAAAGCGATGGAGAGATGAAGATGATGCCATTACTTCTAACTCCAGAAAATAACATGAAGAAGACTCTCTGCTCCTTGGAAGAAATGAACTCAGGGAAAATAAAAGGAAGGGCTACACACCCAAGAACATATTGTCTTTAACAAATTGTATTGTCTGCAAATGAATAGCATTCCCCTCGATGCCTCCATCATTCATAAAATAAACTTCCAGGGAAAGCCAAGTTACGAGGGCCTTCTACCTGTGTTACCACTCAAGGCTGCTGGCATCCTGTGCCAGGAAGGCCTAATCCAAATGTCCACAGGCCAATATTAAGCAGCAGGCCCTGCCTTTGAAGTCTAAAGTGGGTCAGGACTCTTGTTTGAGGCCCAGCTGCTTAGGGAAGAAGAGTTGAGGAGCTAGAAAGCATTTTCAGAAATTGGGAGGAATTCTGGAAAGGATGCAGCTTTCAGAGCTGGCCTGGTGTGCTCCAGGGCACACAGGGGCAGCAGGTAATGTCCATGCTTGAAGTGGTCCTGGCTGGGGACATTTAGAATTGGGAAGTTCATGCCAAAGTGGGCAGTGCTGCCCAATTCCATTGTGGGAGCGCATGAGTTCCTAGGGAAGTGAGGCTTTCTTCAGTGAGGCCAAGGAACAACCTGACCAAAGCAAGCTCAGAGCTCAGTGAGGGGAGACAGACAGACGGGCTGCCTCAGAGGAGGCTCAAGAGAAGCAACTCTGGACCATAATTAGCATGATTTATTAGCATAGGGAGTTGGGAAAGATTTTTGCCTGGGGCAGCACTGAAGAGAGGTGATGAGTGGATTGGGCAGCATGGGACACCGTCAATTGCAGCTTTGTCATTGAAAGGAGAGACTTTACAAGCCAGCCCCATCCCGTAGCCTTACTGACCTTTCTCTCCTAGCCTCTGGCGTGCTTACACCACTGAGGTAGGAAAAATAAAGCCAGGAGCAGTGTAAGAAACTTCGGGGAGCAAAGGGCAGCAGGGCTGGCTGGGTGTCTGCAAAGGGCCCTGGTCTTGGGAATGTGGGGTGAAGAGGGGCAGAGAGAGCCAGTCCAAGTGATCTTATGGCCACAGCTACCCAGGAAGCTCAGATGTGTGCAGGGGCCAAACAGAAGGGGCCCATAATGAGATCCTCTGGAATGTGGCTGCTGCCCCAGGGCTCAGCTCAGAGTCACATGATTTTGAGTTTGTTTATCTGGTTTTCTCTTAGAAATTCTTAGACTCTTTCTTCTGTAACTGCTCGATACCTATCACAGGACTACTGCATCCAGCATATGCATCTTGCTTAGAAAACCCACGTTGGATCCAAGTACTTCTCTCCCTGATTTTCTGGATATTAACATCTAAGATAATTGGTTTTGTACTTTTAAATTTTTAAATAAAATAGGTCTTTCTTCAAATAACCCCTGCCTTGCTCTCTCCCTCTCCTTTTCTCTGTACTCCTGGAGATTGAACCTAGGGCCTCATGCATGCTAGACAAGTGCTCTACCCCGAGGTACATCCCCAGAACTTTTTATTTTTAGACAGGGTCTTGCTAAGTTGTCTATGCTGTTCTCCAACTTGCAATCCTTCTTCCTCAGCCTCCCAAGTAGGTGGATTATAGGCACACGTCATCACACCCAGCCAAATAAAAGCTCCCATTGAATAGTAATAGCTAATATATTTATTAAGTGTTTATATGTTTCAGTCACCACGCTGAACCTTGTGTTTTCTCATGTTATCCTCAATATATGCTATGTATGAGGTCTTATGTTGCCCCTCTTAAAAATGAAAGTATGGCCTGAAGGGCTGACCCTTTTCAAAGTCACACAGGTAAAGGGCAGAGCTAAAAGTAGGTCATATACAAGGGCTGGTCAAGAAAATACAGTATGTGTTTAAATAAAAAGAATTATTACAGTAAAAGATACACTGCCATAGTTCCTCTAAAAATATTTCTCCTCACTTTGAAAACACTATCCTATTGTTCTTGCCATTTTTTGAAGCAGTCTGGAAGTCCTCTTTCCTGTGTCCATGAGGTGTGACAAAAAATATGATGACTACTGCTGCTGAGTACCATGGAACAGAAAGGCAAGCTTGTGAAAACGTGACTGTGTGTCCTCATCCACCTTATTCACTGGATCTGGACCATGTGACTTCTGGCTCTTCTCCAAAGTCAAAATGACCACAAAAGGTAAACGTTCTGAGTTGATTCAGGACATGCAGGCAGCCACAACAGCACAACTAAAGACATTCATGAAAGAGGACTTCCAGAACTGCTTCAGAAAGTGGCAAGAAGAATGGGATAAGTGTGTTTGAAGAAAAGGGAAGTCTTTTCAGAGGGATTAATGGCCAACATTTCTTTTACTGTAATACAGTAAAGAAAAAATTCACTGTAGCGTTTGATCACACCTTGTAGGTGAATTCTAGCTCTTGTGGCAAAGCCTTAATACCCACTAATCTCCACTGTCTTCCGAACTAAAGTAGAAGAAATGACTTGCTGGTCTTGTACAGGGGAGAGCTAAGAGTGGGCTTCTCAACTCCCCTCTGTGGGGACCCTCCAGAGCTGCCCTAATCTAGAAGCCTCTGCCCTACCCAAAGCACAGACAAGATTGCAAAACTCCACGTTGGCATGGCCACTGGCCATCAAGAGAGGTACGTGGGGGAAGTGGAGGCCCAGGACAGAGCTCTTGGAAGCAGAGGTGAGGCCAAATACTCCTCAGAGCCTTGGCAACTGGAACTTGATTGGAGAAAGACTCTTTAGAAAAATGTTATATGCAAGTGAAATACGTGGACCCCATCCCTACTTAAATTCTTTACTTTGAAAAGGCCAAGTCAAGGCTAGGGTAAGTTAATGAAATTCTAAGGCGTTACCATCTCTGATTGTCCCCCTTCTAGCCTGCAGTGCTGCCAAGCAGAAGTCCTGCTTCAAAGAGCAGGCAGAACCATTTGTGGTTGGCACAGGAAGGGCATAGCTTCAGCAAAACTGCCACGGACATTTTGAAAAATTTGGAAAACAGCTGGTTTTCCTCAACACACTGACCATTCCTGTGTACCCTGTGTTCTAGGTCATTCGTCTAGAGGGCGCACTATCATTTCATTTTCTTTCCCTTTGATCTCAAAGTATCTACAGTGTCAAAAATTGGGAAGGTTGCAATGGAGACCTGTGTTACTTTTGTTCAGTATGAAGAATACAGGAGGAGAGAGGGAGCTGCTTTTCTACCTGTCTGGGAGTTGTGGGATGTATTTGGCTACATTTGCATTACCAAGTACTAGGCACTTGGTTAAACATTCTGTATACAAAATCTCATCCTATCCTCCTCCTCTAGGAGGTGTGCATTGTTTCTGCAAAGGAAAATATATTCCAAGCATACTGGCTGGAGGTCACGTGTCTGGTAGTGGCAGTGTCAGCGCTCAAAGCTAGACTGAAACAGGAAGCTGCCACGAGGACAATCCCTATGCCAAGCTCTGCATTCAAGATGGCAATTCCTGTGAGGTGGGAGAGAACCTGGGTAAAGATGCCTCAGGTTCATTTGGCCACCAAGTGATGAAAGTTTGCAGAGAAATGCCCAGGGCAAACATGGCTGTCCCTGACATATCCCTGGCAGAGAGAGCTTTTGTGGAAACTCAAACCAAGGAGTCATCCCTCTGGGTGGTGATGTCCTTGACAGAAAAAGACAAGAAGGAACTGCCAGGTATTCCTGCCATCAGTGGGACTCATAACATTCAACTGGTGCCCAGGCAGCTCGGAGAGAGGTGCTCACTCAAGACTGAGCTTTCACGCCCAACTTTGACTTTTAGGAGGTCAGAAATAACACACCTTCTTCTGAAATCTAGAGGACCAGGTGGTAAAAACCTGGTTCATCTCTCCGGGAATGCCAGGAACCCATGTTACTCCTGAAGGATATTTTATTTTCATTGGCCTCACACCCCAGGGAAAATTTCTATTCTCTCAGTGGTGGGAGAAGAAAGCTATGCTTGTGATATTGCATGATGCAGTATCCAGAGACGCTTCTGGAAGGAACTCTAGCAATGACCTGGTCCCACCTCTCATTAAACTGATAGAAACGCAGAGGCCTCAGCTGGGAGAACGCTGTGTCTGAGAATCCAAGACCTGCTCAGCTTTAAGTCACACTGGCAATTAATTGGTGATCGTTCCTGTTAACTTTTCATTTTCAAAAATGGTGATAAAATAAAAATACCATAAAACATCATTTTAACCCTTTGTAAGCTTACAGTTCAGTGACATTAAGTACATTCACACTGATAAACAATCATTGGCACCAGCCAGCCCTATAACTTTGGGTCACACCCTGTTGGAACTAACCCTCCATTTTTGTAAACGCCCATGTGCGCTGGCCATGGCCAGGTCAGACCACATCCCAAGAACTTCACATTTATGAACTCATTTGAGTCTCATAACAACCCTCCCGGGGGGCAGTATTACTTTCCCTATCATCCAGCTGAGATGACTAGGCTACAAGAGGTTAAGATGGCGCTGATAATACATGTCAAAACCAGGCTTCACATTTAGGACACCCAACTCCAGACCCTGAGCTTTTGACAACTATAGAAGCTGCCACTGTCAATGTCTGGGCATCAAGGGGGCAGATAGTTGAGGCCATTTCTTTCTCCCCCTGCCACCCCAGCTGCCACCCAGGAGATTATGCAGGGAGGGGCCTCTCACAGTGGCAGGTCTGGGTTAAGTGGGGGCTGGGTTTATGCATGGGTAGAGAGGGACAGGAATTGGGCCCCACCATGATGGGACACATGGAGGGCCAGGGATCCAGTAGCTTTCATTCTGCTCCTTCAGATTTAATCTGTTAGCCGAATTTCAGGTGCTTCTTAGGCCCCATTGGAAATTGTACTTTTCGTCTGAATGATTCAAATCTGAATGCCATGAGACCTCTAGGATGAGAGTGAGAGATTTCAGGTGTGCATGTGTGTGTGGGATGGGGGTGAGCATTGGACTGCATGATGTAGGTAAATTCCTCAGTTCTGTGGGCAGCCCTGGCCCTTAGTCCCCGAGGCAGGGGCTTCTCTGCTGGTAGACGGTGCACAGTGTCTGGAGGCTTGGGCCCTCCTGGACACGGCCTGCCTTGGCACACTGGGGTTGGACTGCCCCTGGCCGGGGTGTTCAGGGTTAAGGCTCAGTGGGGACTGATGGCCTGATGGGTGCTTGCATCACTGCCTGTGCGGTGTGTATTTGCCAGGCCTGCTGTGCTGTGATGTGCAGTCACCCAGACACGCTGGGACCGAGGTCCTTGGAGAGTAAGGCCCCAAGCTTCCTTCTCAGGTGGATAAAATCTGTGCTGAGACCCAGAGGGAGGAAGAGCGGGGAGATGGCAAGGGGACTCATGTTTAAGGAGCACTTGCTTTGGGCCAGGTTAGATAGTCCACACAGAACTAGGAAGAAGTTAGGGTGAGGATTCCAGGGCCTTCCTTCCAGCAAGAGGCTGCCCTTCCTTCCACCTGGGCCTCCCCTGGCCTCTGAACACCGGCATTTTCAGGCCCCAGAGTGGCCTGTTGTCTGGCCCTGGTCCGCACCTCCTGCCCCAGCCGGTGCCAGCTGCCCTTGGATGGGCTGCTCCAGACGTACGCACCTGTCTGATGCTCAAAGGCCGGGTAATACTCCTCATTGCTGAACAGATCTGTCCACGACATCAGGGGGTCGTAGAAGGGCGGGTTGGGCAGGAAGGTGCTGTGTGTCACCGAGTCCAACATCACCCTGCAATAGCAGAAAGGCTGTGAAGGCGGCACAGAGTGTGGGTTTCCGGAAGCCGCGCTATGTGGGCGCCCCAGCAGGGCCACCCTTGGTTTTCAATAATGGCAGCCTTCAGGCACCCCTCAGTGCATTCTACAACAGGCATTATTTAGTCCTCACCACATCCCGCCTCTCCCCGTTTCATAGATGAGGAAACCAATGCAGAGGGGCTGAGGCAGTTGCCCAAGCAACATAACTTGAAAGCTGGGAAGCTGGTGTTTGAGAATGGAGGTTCTTATTCTGCAACACTGCCCCTTTGCTAACTTTTCCTAGTCCCTCACATCTGACTTTCTGATACCTGACACATAGCAGCTAACAATAGGCTTCTGAAAACAGGGCAAGAAATCCGTGAGTTTGTGTGTTTGGTGCACACACATATTTCCCAGCAAACAGACCTAAATTGATGTCATATTGTTTTATACAGTTTTATGTATGTGTGTACACATAACACATATAATGATATATGTTATACAGTTTTATAACTATAGTTAGTCTTATTAATTCTACTTAGTATTCATAGGATATACTGCAGAGATACTGATGTCTTAGAGCAATCCTAGACCTTGGGGGGGGGGTTCTTTGTATTTTGCAGGATATACAGGGCATCGCCTTCCTAACACCTGAAGAATTCCGAATTCTGTAGTACAGCTGTCCTGAAAGTTTTGGAGAAGGGAATTTGCCATAGGCACTACACTTCAGGCTCCATGCTATGTACTGGAGTGCTTAGCTTTATTATTCATGAATTCTCATGTTTCTCAGAATAACCACTCTGAGACAGGGACTGGAAGTGCTTCCATTTTATAGATGAGGTATAAGATGAGGTATAGATGAGTTTGAAGACTCCAGGTACCAAATGCAAAATCACCCAGCTGGCAGGTGATGGGGTTTGGGTGGCAGCTCAGGTTTGTCTGTGTAAAAGCTCATGATCCTAGTGTTGGATTTTGCTCCCCACCCACTCTGTCATGAGGGGAACTCCAAGAAAAGGCTGGAAAGATGGCGGAAGGGAATGGGCTCATGTTTCCTCAAAGATGTATTCCTGCTCATGCCATCCTTGCTCTGCTGCTTCCTATATTCCTGTACACTACCTCTTTGCTGCGTCCCATATCCTCCCAATTCAAATTTAAAAATCCATGTTTGGCAGATTAAAACACCCATTTATCTAAGTTCTCTTTCTCTAGAAATAATAGAGATAGGCCAGTTCTTCCCCCATTTATGAGGACAAAGCAGCTCAAGATCACACTACTGGTAAAATGTCAGGGCAAGACTAGATTCCACATCCTGGGATATTAAATGATGGAATTTTAAGATGGTTAGGACTTGTCCAACATCCCACCCAATGTCTCTCAAACTTTGCTCATTTGCCTTGATCACCATGATAATTTCACTCAACCTCTATCCTACCAAACACTTTTATTTACTTAAAATATTTTAAAAATCAACTTCTTTTTTGTTTTAACATTAATATGCTTATTTAAAAATAAAACTTTTATACTTTATATCATCAGTATAAAGAGAAAGTATTTTCTAAAGAAAGTGAAAAAAAAATATATTAGGATTTAAATAGAGAATGTTCATCCATGTGCCACCTAAATCAGGGATTGTCAAACTACATCCTCAGGCCAAATCCAGTCTGCCACCTACTTTTGTATGTCCTGCAGCCAAAGATGATTTTATATTTTAAAATAAGTACTTACACAACATCCTTGATTGTGTCTTTTGGCAAATCCTAAAGTATTTATTATTTGGCCCTTTGAGAAAGAGTTTGTCAACCACTGAGCAGAATCTACTTGTACCTCGGCGGAGATGTGAGTACCATATTGGAAAATACTGAGTTGGTCTAATCTCTCATTCTGCCATTTTTCAGGGAAGGAAGTTGAGGCCCTGGGAATTTGTGCAACTTACTCAGTAGATAGCACGGTTAAATTGGAGGGAGGGCCTAAGTTTTCTGACTCTTGGTCTATCTGCCTCCCTTTCTCAAAACACAGTTGTATCTCAGGTACACTTTGTAACACAGAGATACTAAGAGGGGCGGGGATTGTGTGATTCTTGAACCAAAGACAAATTGTTTGCTGACAAATCTACCATCATCACCACCGTCCCATGTGCATGAGAACTGGACTCTAGACATGAATAGAAAGCAGTTTGAATCCCATCTTTGAACACCCTTTCTGGACCAGTACCCATGAGTCCCCAGACCCCAGACCCTGCCTTTTTTTTTCTTTTTGTACCGGGGATTGAACTCGAGACCTTGCGCTTTCAAGGCAGGCGCTACCTTCTTTGTGATGCCTGCATAGGATTAATGGGCCTAGCAGATTATCAGGGCCACAGATCTCCCCTGGGAGCTTATCCCATAGAAGTCAAGGCTGCCTGGGTTTGGGCTCTGATTTTCCCATGGCTTGGCTGGTTTTATATCCAGAGTGAGTTGGGGTGTGGGGGAAGAGGGAGGGCAGGATGAAGAAAGGTGGGGTGGGAGCTTACAAGGGAGGGAAGTGTCCCTGAAGCCCAAGACCTTTTCTGATTTCTGGACTTCAGAAAAGTTTATCTAAGTGAGGACTAAGGATAAAACTATCTTCACTCCTTCTGGGCCAGAAGGCTCAGAAAATGGAAGAAAAAGAAAGAAGCCTTCTGACATGACTCTCATTGAGTGTGAGAAAGAAAAGGTGAACCTCAAATGGAAAAAAAAAACCCAGAACACTGTCTCTACGTCTTCAATGTGAATAGGGGGTTCTCCAAACACAAAATGTGATCACGGGTATAGGAGATTTTTCTCATTGATACTTCTTGACAAACAATTCTCAAAAGTCATTTGGTGTTTTAAAAAAGTCATTTGAGAATGGAATTTAATCATATAAAAATTAAGAATATCTTTGATTGATAGAGTACATTCTTTAAGGATTTTTATTTACACCAACCCACTCACTTGATCTGTAATCTCTCCAGCACTTCCCACAAAGTCTTATCTGATTCCCTTTGGTAATTCCTTCTTCGGCAAATTATATCCATTAGGTCTTTCTTAAAGGGCTCCCTTGGGTGTATGACATGCTATGTTCCTTCTTCCATAATTATTTCTTGCTTTTTGAAAAAACTGTCTTCTATGAAAGCAGTGGAAGTTTTTTTCTTCTTTCTTTGTTTTGTTTTGTTTTGCAATTGCAATTGCATGCTATTCCCTCTGGGCATGCCACAAAAGACCTCAGCCACTTAGCCAGCATGCACTAGGTGTGCAAATTCAAGAATAATGGCTCCTTTGTGTTCAGCAGCCCCTCTTCTTTAGGCCCTCTAAGGTCCTTGCAGTGACTGAACATTGGGGCTCTTAAGATTTCTTTCATGTGGGTGAGCAGAGTGGGCGGAAGGAGTGGTGGCTGAGCTCTCATTTCTCAGCAAAGCCTGGCAAGAGGTAAGCCAGCCATTCCCAATGGGATGGGGGAATAATAAAAGGATTCAGAAGCACTGGGTTAGATGGTATAACATCTGCACAGGACAAGATTCTTGGGCCTGCTGGTCCAGCCACACTCTTCATTTTTTGAGGGGCTGGCTGATTTGTCATCATGGAAAAAGCCCTCAACGTGGAGTGATGATTCTGCCTTTACACCTCTCCAAACCTTAGTTCTTCACTTATTAGATGAGGACACAGATGAGATGGATGAAATCTGTGCGCACACACACACACACACACACACGCACGTGTTGATTATATTTGGATACTGTGGCCCAGCAGGCTCATCGAACTGGACTAAAATCCAACCAGTACAACCACAGATTAAACCAGTAGCTCTGAAAACATTTCTGATTCCCTCCTCCTGACCTCCTATGGCCACTGTCTTCTGCCTCAGTCTGGGAATCTCAGGATAACTGAAGCTAAGTGGTTTAAACATTCCGATCCCTCACATTGCCCAGAAACAGGCTCACAGCAGTTGAACTGTTTTCCCAAGATTAATAGCCACCCATTAAGCAGGAAAGGATCAAACACAACCAACACAAGGCCAGGATTCAGGTGGGCTCCCCTCCTTGCATGAGAAAGGGTGGCTGCAAGTACCTTTGGGAGCAAGGCAGCGATGGCATGGAAGCTGGAGTCCCCGGATGTCTCCAGTGCTGCTTTCCCAACCCTTCTGAGTCGGCTCACAGAGAGGGTCCACCCAGTCAGATGTCCAGGCCTGTGGATTTCTCGCCCTCACACAAACCAGAGGCAGCAATAACAGTTGTGGTGCCCATGGCTGGAGCAACCAGACTCCTCTGCTCAGCCGTCCAGAGAGAGGCAAAGAAGAAAACCACCCAGCCTTGGCCAGTTTGCCAGAGGAGGAAAATTCCTTCCTGACCCTGGCAGGGATCATCAACTTCACTCTGGGCATGCGACCAAAAATCTACCCAATTAAGCACCCACACATTGCCTATTTATATGTGAAACATCACTGGGCAGAACATGGCCACACAGGTACCAAGTATGGATAAAGAGGGTTCAGGAGGGGCTTCTTCAGTCTCACCATCAGGTAGTATCATTGGGAAGAAAAGTGTTTTCCTCCCTCACAGCCCTCACGACACCTGAATGCCCACTGGGTCTGGAGCTCTGTGGAAGGCAGGGTCAGTTTCTCACCCTCTGGCCTCCGCAAGAAGGGCCAATTGAGGAGAATGCCATGGAGCATTTCAACACTCACCGCTAAAGCTGGATTGTGGGTTGGGTGTTTGAGTGTTTGCTCTGGGAGAAACCATAGCAGCTGTGAAAGCCAATTTGCTGACCTCTTATCAAGTGATTCCTCATTTCTCTTAAAATTGCTCAGGGCGTTCGGTTGATTGTTGTTTTTCTGAAGGTGCAGCAGAGGCCCATACAGTGTTCTGTGGGCTTCAGTGCAAAGTTTACAGTTTGGGATTAAATAATTGGAGGGTTAAATCTTGCCGCGGTCACTCACCAGGCAAGGAACATGGTGCATATTTCTTACTACTCAGACTACTAAAATTTTGGGGTTTTTTTCCATACCAGTGTGGTATATACACATTCGTGACCCTCCTTAAATGAGGATTTTAACTCCCAATCTTCAGAATGTCCTACAGTTTTATATATATATTACATCCATTCCTGTCCCAGAAGGAAAAATCAACCATTGTCAGCGTATCTACTCCGGCAACTTTTGAGAAGAGAAGACAACCAAACTAAAACCTCCTGCCAAGCATAACCTGGAATCATGGAAAAACATTCTTGCAAACAAAACCAAGAAAAAAGAATCAAGCTTTCAAACAAGACATTTCTCTAGCTGTTTAGATTACACAAAAAATACAAACCCATCTTCTTAAGTCACTGAGTCTTTTTGGGCCTCAGTTCCCTCATCTGTAAAACTAAGAAGTTTTATCTAATGGCCCGTGACCCCATTTCCAGCTTCTAAATTCTGGATACATTCGTGCAGACTTGGCCCCCCAGATTTAGGAGGGAGCATGTGTTACCAATTTCTGCCAGCAGGGGGCAACCCCACAGGAACCCCAGCATACAACTGCAGAGAACACAGTGGAACTCCCCCCTCCCCCTCACCACGGTTTTTCTGGACACATTCTATTCTAACGGGGTGGGAGAAGGAAAAATGGGATTCCTTTAAGCTATTTTGTACAGACGAATTCCTGAAAATGCCCCAAACTATAGGGCAGTTGTCCCTATCAAGGGAGCTGGGGTGGGGAGCAGTCAGCAGGCCAGGGGGATTTGAGGGATGAAGTCAGGAGACCGGTGGGGGAGGCTTCCTTTGAAGCCGAATGTTTTGCTGTGTAAAATCTGGCTTCCCTTCCTAAAGCTGTGTTCAGGAAGGGTACAGAGTGGAGAGCCTGGGTGAGTCCTCTCCTCATTCGGCCAGGTTTGCAGGAAGTAGGGGCTGGTGAGGAGGGGGTGGGCGGCCACATGGCCAAAGGAGTCACATCTCTCAGGAAGGCAATCAAAGCTGAGTCCAGGAGCTTCTGGAGGCAGCACAGAGCTGGAGCCTGACACACACACCCAGGCCTCAGGCCTGGCCTCTCAACCCTGATGCCCCTCACAATTCATCAAGAAAAGAAAAGGCGCTTACGTGAGGACAGGGTGGCTGGGTCCAGAGACAAGGCTTGGAAGGCAAGAGGAGGCAGGCGCTCCGGGCCCCGGCAGACGTGGAAATAAAGGCACCTGTAGCCTTGTGATATAAGTGACACCTACAGACAGGTCCGTTTGGTTTTTCAGGTTTATGCACAGCCCCTTTGATGACGGTGACATAGAGTGTGACACAGCTCCTTGGGGGGGGGGTGGCTCTCACATGCAGAAAGTTTACCTTTATCCTGCTTTTGTACCCAGCTCACCACCCCCTGGACCAGGGGACTCAGTAAACAAGCAGAGAATTTTTGCCTCTGGGACATTTGCAGCATTGACTGGGGAACTCTGTGCAGGGAAACTCAGCTGGAGGGGAGATGCGTCAATCTGCACCTCCAACCTCCTGGGCTGGCCGAGCCCTGTGCCTTCTTATGTCCCACTCTTCCCCCTTTTATCCTGTGGAGGAGGAAGGAAGGGCACTGTCTGGTAGTGGCTTTGCAGCCAGATGCTTTGGGAATCAAATTCTGGGTCTGTCATCTTCTAGCTGTACGACTCTGAATAAGTTAATGATCCTGTCTGGGCTTCATCAGCCTAATGGGAGTGAGGGATGGGCTCTGTCCTTGGCCTCGGGGGATGGCAGGAGGCACAGGAAGCAAAGCCCCTGGTAAGGCCTTTGTTAGCCACTGTGCAAATAGCATCTCCTTCACGGAGCGCATTAATTAGAATCACTCTTCACCGTTTTCGGCCACTTTTCAAGCAGAGGAAGGGAGCAGCCAGGTTACAGGGCCATGGTTGGGCCTTTTCACTCTAAGCATGGACAGAGTGCCAGCCACCTGAACATAGTCAGCACCTAACATGTGTGGCTGTCAGTGGTCACGTGGTGGCTTTCTCCTTTTCCCCTCCCCTGTTTTATAGATGGAGAAATGAACAGGCATAGTGGCTAGGATGTGTCCAAAGCTAACAGGCCGGGGGCCCACCTTGATTGTCAGCTCTCCGGTATCCTGCCGAGAGCCACCCACATTTTAGGACTTCCCCTGGATAGCAGACACTCAGCCCCAGAAAGCGTCAAGGCTTATCTGTGGGGCAGTGTCTGTGACACTTTGCCTTCCATACCATGCTTCCAGCAGTCACGGCTGTGTCCAAACTGCACACTCCAAGCTTCAAGGTGCAAGTGGGGACTGGTTTGTTAGGTTTTCTTGGGAACACTGAGCATGAGGACAAGCACAACTGTCTGGAATAAGTAAAAGGCAGTTCGTTTGAGGATTCAGGTGTCAAGGAGACTGCCTAGCCTGATGATTTGGTTGTGTGACCCCAGGCAAGTCAGTTGGCTTTTCCGGACTTCATTTCTTCTGTGGTGAAAGGAGGAAGTGGGATTAGGATGGTGATTTTCACACTGTGCCTGGAGGAACTGCAGGGGTTCCCTAGAGCCCTCAAAAAAATGGTTGGGAGAGAGAGAAAATGGGAATGGAGTGGACTCTAGATGTTCCCCCGTCCCCTGTGACTCTGTAAGAACATCTCAGCTCTCATATAAATCTTCTGGGTAAGATTTCATTTGAACAAAAGAATCTGTACTTAAAGAGAGTTTGCAAATAACTGGATTAGATGGTCTTTGGGATTCTTTTAGGCTTTAAAATTTTGTGACTTTTCCTGTTTGGTCTCCAGGGACTCGGAGAGTCCTGTGCACTATGTTCTCTGCTCTTGGGCACTGTCTGATTTTGTCACTGGCTTCTGTACTAATGTTTGTCTCTACACACCTACATTCCTCTTGGTGGAGAGATTTTCAAGGAAAACGTATTAGTCTGCTATTGTTCTTTAAAAAAGAGGCCTTTGAAGAAATTACATTTTTTTTCTGAGCTCAGTTATTTGAGAGTGCAAGTTTTGTGATAGTGGATGCGCATGACAGTAACTCTGTCCCACGGTCCTGAATGTATAATATATCATCTCTGGGGAGAATTACAGGCTTCTGGACCAGTGGCTAGAATGGACTATTAGGATAAAACCTAAATAAAAGAGGAATTTGACTGTTATTAAGTTTAACCATCATATTTATTGCAAATTTGATTGGAATGGAGATCGTGGATGATGTCACTCACTAAGCTTCTAAAAACTGCACAATAAATGGATGAAGATAAGACATGGACATTGGGAATGAGGAAGAGGAGGGCAAGGTGGCTAAGGCTGGGGGAAGGGCAACAGAGGAAGGACAGGAGTGCCCTCCAGTCCCCGCTCAGTCGTCTGGTGTCCCGGCCAGACAGCAAAAACGAGTAACTCTTATGGGGACAGAGTGGCTAAGGGACCAGGTTCTGGAAGGACACTTTATAGGTTTGGATCTCTCTGCCTTTTGCTGGCTGGGTAAGGCTAGGAAGCCCAAGTAAGCTCTCTGCATGCCCATTATCTCATCTGTAAAATGGGGGAAACATACAACTGGGTGAATTATTGAGTTAAAAGGTGGGAAGTGAAGAGAACCCAAGGGTGGGTTATCTTGTTTCAAACTGTTAAGCTTCTTACATTAAATTCTCACAAATCTTCAAGGGAGTTATTTATTATCTCCATTCTACAGATAAGGAAATTGAGGGACAGACAAGTTAGGTAGTAATTTGCCTAGAGTCACACAGCTACCAGTGGTAGAACAGGTATTTTAGTTTATACTGTCTGCCTCCAGAGAACATCCTACTACTGTGCTAACCATTTCTGAGTGCTCCTGGAGTAGTTCTGTGGGGACAGGAGGAGGGAACCCCATATGTATGGGGCATCTACCATGTGCCAAGCATTGTGCTAGCAAGCTCACCAATCTTACATGGGTTATTTTTCACAATAACCCTGGGAGGGAGCTGTCATTACTTTTGTTATAAGATGAAGAAACAGAGGTGCCAGGCTTTCTGGGGGCCACCAGCTGATCTGTGGCTTTCCTGGCTTAGACTGAAGCCTGCTCAGTGCTAAAACCACATGGCAGATGCAGGAGCTCAAGTTGGCCTTGCTCCTTTGGCTTGGGCCTTAGCACTGGCCTCTCTGGACCCTTCCCTCTCTGTTGGCTCAAATCCCTGTGTCTGTAATCATTGCCGGCACAGTCCACCCCTTATCAAATGGTGGAAATACTGTTACCTAGTTGGATCTGGTGCCTGGCATGAGTCTTGGGATAAAGAAGACATGCCATGGAATAGTCTGGCTTAGAAAACACATCATATTACACAAGGCTGGAGGGTCTCCCCAAAGTCTTTCCTGGATAGAATGGGCTCT